CAAGTGTGCCCACTGGCCCAGTGAAGGTGGCGTACTTCCGTTTCCTGGCCGGGAGGGCAAGGTGGCCTTGTACCATCACACATTTTACGGATCTGCCACGGCATGCACCATGGAAAGCATCGAGCAGCTATTCCAAAAAGGCGTCGATGACACAATCACAATGCTATGCGACTCCTATGACACCTGCAAATTTCGCACTATGGAGTACGGGGGCGTTATCATGGGCTTCGGCAGAGAGATCTCCTGGGAAAGCGGGAGCCCTTCCGGCTTGCGAACTGTAGCACGATACCTGCATGCTGAGAGGGACGAAGAGGCGACCGAGCTGCCCTGAGAAACCTGCCAAAAGAGAGTCCATGTGAATGGGGGGGCCTTCGTAAATTTCTGAAGCACCCGATGACTTCTGGCTTCCAGTTTCAGCGTACGTAGCGGGTCAAACTTAAGCCTGAGCTCTGAGCCGAGGCCGCAAACCACCTGGATGCTGTCGACCGCCGGACGATTGTCCTTCCCGAGGGCTCCCATCTGCTGGAGGCAGGGGGGGTTCAGGGGTGGAAGATAAACTCAAGGCATTTCAGGGCATCTTGTACCTGAAGCCATCAGCCTCGAACATCGGCGACCAGCTCAAAGACTAGAACCTTATAAGCTGACAACTAGGTTGGCCCCTTAAGCCCTCTGAACAATCCTCCTAACCCTGTTATTCCTCCGGACAACCCAATAAGGGAACATGCAAGATATCCCAAGGGCCTAGTCTTTCTAGAGCACAAAAGCATCGCCCTCCCCAGGATCCTTTGAGACGACTCGCCAAGGCCCTCCTCCTTGGTGAGGCGATGACTGCATGTTCAGTGGGGTTTCCCAGCGCCCACAGTACGCCCCTTGGGGCTGGATTAGGGGACCGACCTATCTCGGGAAATGCCCACATACTTTTAAGAACCCATCTAGGATTGATGGTTTGCCATGTAGTGAGTTGCCCACAAGGCCGACAGTTAATGCCCTGACCCCAAATATGCCCTAAACACGCTGGACCCCAAAACCGAAGCCAAACTTCAATGGCCAATCTGCAGGCAGGCCAAGTGGCTGCACCTGGTGCAGAGGCCCTTTACGAGTTTGGAGGAAGCATTGGGTCAGGGCACCGATCAGTAGGGAGGAGCTGCCAAATCAGGACTTAGTACGTCAGGAAAACACTACATTTGGAACTGCAGGTTGGCAAAAGCTGATTGGGCCCTCTTGTGTGCCTTCGTGTGGCCATTCGCATTCACGGACGCCCATAGATGATCGTTGTACTCATAGCTCAGCTTCGGCAACTGGTACAGTGGTGAGGGTCCTAGTCCTGGTCTAGCTGTGGGTTCATCGCTGCAGAAACGAGAGGGCGTTGCTCCTCAATCGGCAGGTTTGGCGCATCAAGGGCCTCATACAAGTTTCAGGCCAATGCACATGGTTTCATGACAAAGGGCTTTCCCTGCACCCACATCCTGCCGGCTCCTCCTTGTCGTTCAGAGCTCTTGCCTTGTGCCATGATTCGTTCGTGCAGATCTGCTTGCGTGAAGTCTTAGACCAAGTCAGATCGCAGGCCGCGGAACGATGCTTCTCCAAGGCGTTGGCGATCAGGCGGATCGGTTTGCACGAGAAGGGTTCAGGAGGCGGAGTGCTGGGGTCGATCTATTGATGGCGTAGAGCCTTTCTGTCACCTTTTGCCGGAGCCTTCTGCACAGGTTTCACTGGAAGCCTGGCCGGATCCCGTGAAGGTCCGAATTCCAGTGCTTCCAATGTAGCACTCCACTATTGCAGGAGAGGATGTGTCCGCAGCAGAATCAATGCCCAGCATGTTCTCGCAAGCAGACTCAAACTCACGGCACGACATTCAACGTGCTTTTTCCACATCCCACCACACCATCCCACAAGAGACGCAGGTCTTCTTCCTCGTCTTCATTGGCATGGAGCTCGGTCAGGAACTCTTGGAGGCCCACAGAGTCAGGGAGTGCTTAGCTTGGCTCCTCTTACCATGCCATTGATGGAGGCCGCCGTGGCTGCGTGCCGAGACGCGTCGGAGCCTGCTCAGGCCCGGCCCTGGCGGACCCTGACCCTAAGCAGCTTCGCAAGAAGACCTTGTGATGCTTGAACTTGGGCCTCAAAGTTTGCATCGAAGTTGTGGGGTCTTGAGATACCCTATGCCATAAGGAGCATAACATGCCATCGTAGGCTCGTGATTTTGCACAAGCCTTCCCCCCCCATGTGTTGATACCGCTCTTCTCTCGAGGCCCCGATATCAATCCCCCCCGACAGGAAAAAGGCAGTCCCTCTTCGTTGGTATGATTTGTGTCAGGATCCCGTCATGCCCGATCCACTTGCTGCCCCCTTGCTGGCGTACAGGAACCCGTAGAACCAGTGCCGTCATCCCCGACCTTGTGAAGAAGTGTTCCCCGATCTTGGCCTGTTGCATATTCGTGACGAACCGTGACCTGCAACTAGGAAGTTCTGGGCACTTGGCACCTAATGACCCAATGCCCTTCGCATCGTTGCCAGGCCCTCTCCGACCTGGTGGAGCGCAGAGAGCGGAGCACTGGCTTCAGCCCCTATTGACCTTTTGCATGATTTCGTGGAGAACATGGAGCTCGCTGGAATCTTTGACGTAGGCTTTTCTGAAAAAACTTCCTGCAAGCACTGCAAGATGCCTGCGAACAAAGCGATGTCGGAAGCTATCGCTGAAATCCAGCAGGTCGAAGAAGCGAGGCTGGTAAATGTGCTGCATTGAGTGCGAAGAAGATCCCCAGCGATCGGGGACTCTGACAGAGGCATGACTCGCCTGCTTTCCCGACATACATCTGGCCAGTGTTTCAATGATGGAACCATCGAAACCATGTGGGCTTGGGTCAAGCAGGTACGAGGGCAAGCTTGCAGAGGCTGCATGTGCTCGTCGTCAACAGGTCTCGGACCAGTTTCGACCCCGAGCGCAAGAGGAGAGGCTTTGCGTCGTTTCCATTAAGCTAAGCGGTCAAGAAGATTCCGTGATCTGTGCTTGCCCAGAGACCTTTCCCAAAGAGGCCGCGTGGGGGCGGAAATTGCTGGCAGGGGCATGCGCCCTACGCCGTCAGGTCATCACCGACAAACGTGCGCGCTGGATTGGCAGCAGCCTTCAGAACGAGCACCCTGGACCAGCAGACCTTGTGGCCATGCTCAACACAGGATGCAATGTCACATGTCGTGGGGAGCTGTGTCTCCTACGCTCCTTTGGTACTCTCCCTCCAAGCACAGAGGCGTAGAGGAAGCTGGGCCTGGTCCTCGACCCCCTGAAAGTTGCGCCCCAGCCGTCTCCAATACTCTTCACCTCGCTTGCGACTCGGAGAAATCTGTCGTCAGGCGGACCGACTTGCCACGTGGGGGTTCCACAAGCAGGGTTCCCCCCCTCCCCTTTTGGTGAGGAATCAAAACTTGTGGATCCTTTTTGGAGGACGCCTTGTTCTACGCTATTCCTGGTACTAGCCGTACTAAGATCAAGAAGAGCATCACTAGGAAAACGTGTATTGACACTTCGCGAAAGCTGCCTGCGCTGCTGTCAGCCCTTCAGTTCAGCCTCGTCATCTTTCATTTGAGCTCTTTGCCGGTTTTGGGGGGGCTCAAGGCTTCTACTGTACAGACAAGCTAACTTGGCCATCGCTGGCTTTCAATTCGTATCAGTGGCGGCCCAAGAGTTTGGGCTGCCATGAGGCGCGCAGAGTTCGGTGCCGCAGGGCCCTCGAAGCGTCCTGAGGTGCCCGATGTTTGGGACAGGATTCTTTGGTGGAGGTGGTGGTGGCGAGGGACGCCGGGGGGCCCATCAGCTGTTGGTTCAGATCTTGTAGGAGCGGCGGAAAACGTGTGAAATGTCCACCGAGTGGAGCAGATCTGTGCCTCAGGCGGCCCGGCCGGCTTCTTTGGACAAAATGGCAGAGGTGACCGCATCGCGGTGAGAGCTGTTCTGGTCAGTTAAGCTTTCAAAAGTAAACAGTTCCTGCCGGAATTACGATGAGATAGCTGCTTTCACGATTCGCTCTCGTGCTGCCGTTCCTTTGCGCACCGCTGGGTTCATAGTATATGACCTTCGAAGACCTTGAGCCTTGGTAGGCAACTTCAAAGCGGAGTACGATGTCTATCCCGTGGCTCGGCTAGGAGTTGTGGAGTGTGGAGGTTTGTGCAGATCTGCAGCCTCAGTGGACCTGTGAATGTGGGGCCTAGCGCAGCTAGCGCAGCTCTAGCCGCCGAGGTTAGTTTCATGGGCAAGGAAGAGCTGGAAAAGGGAAATAAGTGTGCCAGACACGCTTGACACCCGGGCTGTGAAAAAGGTTTGAGGGGACTCTCAATGTCTGATGCTCTGATAGTGAACTCTGCCGGACTCGGCTTCTGATCTCCGCGAGCCAGCAGATGAATATGCCCTAAACCCTAAACCCTAAACCCCTAAACCCCTAAACCCCTAAACCCCTAAACCCCTAAACCCCTAAACCCCTAAACCCCTACACCCCTAAACCCCTAAACCCCTAAACCCCTAAACCCTAAACCCCTAAAACCTAACCCCTACGCATTCTTCATCGAAATGGCGGCTTTTCCAGGATCATTCTGCCGCAGTCCGCGCTGGACCGGCTGGCACGGCTGAACATTTCCTGGCCCATGCTTTTTGAGGCCCGCCTTGCTCTCATTCGAGGGGAGCCCGCCAAACTCAGAGGTCTCTTACGTACTACTTTGCAAGCGTTGCAGAGCATGCTATTCATCTACTCGAGCTATCTTCTGGGCTAGGCCGATCACGAAAAAGCAGCTGCAGACAGAAATACAGCTCTCGTCTGCGATGACTTCCTTCTGCTGCTTCCCCTGGGTAATGTGTCAGATGACCAACGTCGCGACCTCCAGATCTACCCATGGAGGTGTCCAAGAATTCAGCGTTTGGCACTGAGACGTGAGCGCAAGAGCTTCATAAGTTCCGAGCTCTTCATGTTCTTTTCAAAAGCACGCTACTTATGCTTGCGGAAGTCTGAGGCGGAGGAGGGAGTTTGCTACTTCCCCTACTGGATGATGCCACCTCCCCAGACCTGATGTGCAAACGCCTGCCGCTAAAGAGTGTTTATAAGGCAAAACCTTCTTCTGGAAGTGGGTTCCAGAGTAGAAGCGCGCACCTCAGTCTTGCACAACTTGTCTTAGCGGCATGCAGAGAGTCTTTGGGGACATGACCGAGTACAGCACCTGTCCCATCGCCAAGATCACCAACACGTCGTTGCCAAAGGGAAGCTTTGTCAAGCTTCAGCCTGTTCATTCCGCCAGCCTGACCTATCTTGGAGTAGGCGGTGTGCATGCTTTGGTGCCTGGAAAAAAATTGCGTGGCACGCGTTGGCCAGGATTTTCTGGAAATCCACAACCCTCGGGCAGTCTTGGAGAATTCCTTGAGGAGAAGCTTCCTGGCGGGAGATGACTAGGTCGAAGACAGCAAATCACTGCTTCGCAGCTTACAGTGTCCCTGTCCTGTCGGCTGAGATCAGCGACACATCTTCCGTAGCCATCGGTCGCATCGTGCAGTAGTAGCTGCAGGAATTTCGCCACCCTGACTGTCGGGGACTGCATTGCTGGAATCCCAGTGCAAGACAGGCCCACTAGTCACTAGTCATGGTTGCTGCATCGAGCAGAACTGCCCGGAGCCAAAGACTGCCAGTGACATGGACATCATGGGGGTGGGGGGGGGGGGGAGGGGTGCAGCGATAACCAGACCAATTGTCTTTGGCTAGAGATAGAAGGGAAGCCTGTCACTGCACGTTGAGGAGGTGGCCGACAGTATCCAGCCCAAGGTAAGTTCAACATGAATGCTTAAGTGATGGGATCGTCGTGTAAGCAGCCTGAAACAAGGGATTAGTCGGCAGCCGTTCTTTCACGCTGGTACAGCTTTATACCCATTCCCGTGGACCAGTGTCTTGTGCCTACATATTGGATCAAGAAAGCCTCATGTTATTTGTATCATTTTATTTGTACTGCTTGGCCACACACAGTAGTTCGGAACTCTTCTGGTTCCTAGTCCTAGACAAAGGTGAGATGTCCATCGGCAGTTGGATAGGCAGATGGGGGGGTTGTTGCCATCTGATGGCAAGTCGCCTGATCTTGGGGCCCAGGTCATAGACTACAATCAGAGAAAGTACGAGATTGAAATTGCTGAGGCTGGCTGGTGCCTGAATTCTGCAAACACGAATGCTGAATACTGCTACCCGAAACCCTAAACCCTAAACCTAAACCCTAAACCCTAAACCCTAAACCCTGAATCAGCTAGCCGCCCGCCCTTGGTCAGTGCAAGCCGGCGAAAGCGATTTCCATCATCGAAGCCGATGTAAACGTGGACTTTGCACCTCCAAAGGACTACCAGGACTGGGCTCACAAGTGCCTCAAGGTCCATGGATGAGTTGGCAAGGCTTCAGTCAGAGACTTCGAGCGTAGCTGTTGTGTTTCTGGTCAAAGGGTGCAGGACCCGAAGCCCTCAACCATGAACCCTGAACCCTAAACCTAAACCCTGAACCCTGAACCCTGAACCCTGAACCCTGAACCCTGAACCCTGAACCCTGAACCCTAAACCCTAAACCCTAAACCCTAAACCACACATGAGATTGCAAGATGAACTTGAGGAGCCCCCGCCTCCATCCGCAGCTGCAGAAGTTGCGGGCGCAGCCTTTGCTACGAAGGCCAGGGGTGTGTTTTGCTCGTAGATCCTACTGCTCTACGACAACGCTATGCCCGCAACACTGCCATGACCTTCAGGTTCATGATCAATGCTCGCCCCAAACCCCAAACCCTAAACCCTACTCCTAACCCCTAAACCCCAAACCCCAAACCGTAAACCCTACACCCCAAAGCCCCAAACCCTAAGCCCTAACCCTGTGCAGCAGAGGTAGAGGAAGTGGACGCCGCGACTCCCGAGGCGAACGGCATCGGCATTTGCGGCACACTGGGGATGGCAATGCGTTGGCCATGTTTGAGTCAGATGGGGGTCTACGAAAATAGGAGTACCCCCCATGAGGGGACATGTCTATATGGGGGTCTACGAAAGCAAGAGACCCCCAATATAAACCCCCAGACAGTTGGATTCCCTGGCAATTTGGACCCCAATAAGGTACCACGAATATCGTAAACCCCCCGAAATTTCCTCACGCTTTCCGCAGAGTGGCTCAAGCCCCCAAACTTGGTTGCCAGCTGTCACAGTCTGCCAGGAAGAATGGGCTGCTCAGGTTCCAAGGCGGCAGCGAAGCCTCCAGCGACTTCAGCAACTTCAGAGCCACCAGCAAAACCGGCGGCCGACGATGCCGCAACGAGCCTGCCGGCGGGTCAGCCAGAAGCGGGGGGTGTGATTGAGAAGGCAGAAAAGGCCGCAGAAAAGGTACTGGAGGCTGTTGGACAGGCTGTTGAGCAGGCTGTTGACGCGCTGAAGCCGCAGGATGAGCACAAGGCAGAGGACACAGAGACGGTGACAACGCTGCCGAAGGAGGATTCTCCACTATTTGGTCGTGATGTCAAGGTCGAGGGGGATGCCCCTGCCGGTGCGTGCACATGCGCCGGACTGTGGTGAGAGATTTGGGTGGCTGTCCAGCCAATGCATGACAGGAGGGGTGTGCAATGGCATGCCTCTAGCCGAGAAGTCTCTGAGCATCAGTGGACTTCTTTTTTTGCAAATTCAGTAGGCTGGGGCTGCAAACAGGCAGCCGCGCACAATTGGACACTCCATTTTGCCGTTTCCTGGCGGAAGGCCAGCAACAAGGCATGGGAACCGGCCAAGACAGCTGAGAGCGTACCATAGCATAAAATAGCATAAATGTGCGCGCTTCGAGTTATTCTCAGAATCTTGCCACGGGCTAAATGCTGCAGGCCTCTGGCCGAACGGCGAGTAGTTTCATAGGATCACTTCTGCATTAGCCGCTGCTGATGCTCGCCCTTGTTTTGGTTTCTATTCGGACTCCAGCAAGTTCTTTGTTTGCCCGCAAGTTTTCCGAATGCCGATTCTGGGCCTGATGTGTGTGCGCACCTCAGCACAGGAGACGGCGTCAAAACTTTTTGGGGGCAGCGGGCAGAGCTTGGAGCTCAGTTGCCGAACCACCCTGCATTTTAGCATTCCCATGGCCCTCATTTGTCTTCTTCCGCCTTTCCACCTGTTGGTACTCAGGAGTCGATGGGAAGCCAATTCGGACGCCGCTGTCCTCGCCAGCGGCAGGCCCTCGCACGATGGTGAGTTTGGATTCCGGGATCAGGCCCTCTTTGCGTCAAGGGACTGGAACTGCTGGCAGCACATGAAGTGCAATCATGACCGCAGCAGAAGTGTCAGGTCCATCTCCTCCGCCGATGCCTGACGAGGAGATCCTCATGCCTTGGATCAAGAGAATACCAGGAGGTGCGACGAGGGATGGTCTTGAAAGCTCTGTGGACTCACTTCCATGCCTGGTTCTACGCAGGTGTGAAGTGGACGACCCCACCGTACGGCTATGGAGAGAGCCACATGACTGGCGCAAAGGCACTGTGCACATATGTAGACGCTATTCGTGACGCTCAACCCCATCAGTGTTTGCCCTTTCGCGCTGGGAGAGGCATGAGGGCTGCGCAGCAACGAGCCAGACGTGGAGCATCGAACAGACCCACTGAGTGCCACAAAACGATCGGTGCCGGGTTGATCCATATTCCTTCGCAGATCTCAATCCTCGGCTGCCCCTTGACACGAGCACACAGCAGTGGTTGTCAGAAGTTTTAACGTAGTGACATGGACATTATTACTCTTGGCCAACCTGCTAGCTCGGTTGTGGTCGCAATCTCGGTCTGTGAGGCTGGCTCAAGCGTCATGCCCGAAAGAAGCACGCTTGACACGATAAGCTGAAACATGTTGCAGCGATCTGTCCCATGCAAAACAGGCTGCACAGACACTCGGTCTCAGTCTTCATTGCATGGCGCGGCCAGTCACTCTCAAAGCATGACCGAGCCTTAACCTCCCACTCAAGATGGGCTAAAGGCAGACTTGGCCGAGGTGCCTTTGGAGAGATCCCCCGAATCATGGGCCAAGTTGGATGAGTTGGGGTCACGCGACGTCTGCGAGGTGATGGTGTACCTTGCCTCCTTTGAGGAGGATTGGAAGCAATGGGAGCTGCCCTTCCCCAAGAACAAGCAGGAGATCCGCGAGGGTTTTGCTCAGTGAGACATCACTTGCATTGCCTTCGAAGGAATACCAGCAGTTCGTGCGTTTCGACAAAGCACTGAAGGGGGCCCAGTCTGACGAAAAGGACACGGGAAAGACACAGAATGCAGCCAGCGTCAGTTATAGTTGGCTTTCCACATGGCTGCAGACTTTGCAGGTGACTTATTGTGATAAGGAGTCATGTAGCTAACCTACTTGTAAGATCTCCACATCGCCCGCGATGCGCCGCAGAATGTCCTCACCAAGAATGTGAACGCAGCTGCGCGCGTTGCCCTTGACATGACAACCGATTCAGGCCCAGCTTTGCTTCATGAGGTGGAGTTGAGTTGAAGTTTTCTCTGAAGCTCTGCAATGCTGTATCATGCTCGAAGATGGTCTCGGAAAGCCAGAGGCGCAAAAATGCTCATACCAGGAAGAATAGTCTGGCACTTTCTGCAGACGCTTGTTGGGGTCGGGCGATGGGGAGGAGGAGAGGAGGAGGAGGAGGAGGAGGAGGAGGAGGAGGAGGAGGAGGAGGAGGAGGAGGAGGAGGAGGAGGAGGAGGCGGAGGCGGAGGCGGAGGCGGAGGCGGAGGCGGAGGCGGGAGGCGAGGCGGAGGCGGAGGCGGAGGCGGAGGCGGAGGCGGAGGCGGAGGCGGAGGCGGAGGCGGAGGCGGAGGCGGAAGGCGGAGGCGGGGAGGCGGAGGCGGGCGGAGGCGGAGGCGGGGAGGCGGAGGCGGAGGCGGCGGAGGCGGAGGCGGAGGCGGAGGCGGAGGCGGAGGAGGAGGAGGAGGAGGAGGAGAGAGGAGGAGGAGGAGGAGGGAGGAGGAGGAGGAGGAGGACGACGAGGAGGAGGACGAGGAGGAGGACGAGGACGACGAGGACGAGGACGAGGACGAGGACGAGGACGAGGACGAGGACGAGGACGAGGACGACGACGACGAGGACGAGGACGAGGACGAGGACGAGGACGAGGACGAGGACGAGGACGAGGACGAGGACGAGGAGGAGGAGGAGGAGGAGGAGGAGGAGGAGGAGGAGGAGGAGGAGGCGGAGGCGGAGGCGGAGGCGGAGGCGGAGGCGGAGGCGGAGGAGGAGGCGGAGGCGGAGGCGGAGGAGGAGGAGAAGGAGGAGGAGGAGGAGGAGCTCCATGGTATTCATCAACACGTAGCACGTGTTCATGAGCTTGGTGGAAACTACCAACATTCTGGATTGTACCGCTTTACAAGTAAGTGATGACGGGTGCCAGAGGGAGCTGCTTGTGAAGTGAGGCTCTCGCAGTCTGTGGCTTTTCGTGACCCTGGCGGGTCCCACACAGGTCCTATCTGTTTCTGCCAACATTTTTGGGATTCTGTAGGGCATGTCGAGGGTAAGCATGGTCAGCACCGTCACGACATGTGAATACCCGAGTGCTAAACAAGCTGGATTGAAGCGTGCCGGATGACCTTGTGGGATGGGTGCGTGGGTTTGGGCTGGACCTGTGAAGGATCACGTAGTATGAACCGCGTCCGCTCGCGCCACCAAGCTTGGGCACATTCGCAAGGGTGCGCGTGGGGGCAGACAGACGTGCACGTGCACACACGCACACAGATGCACATGAATGGAAGCCCTGGGCTCCAATCCAAAAGGATTCGCCAATGATCGATCTAGATAGTGGCCTGCCAGGCATTGATCATGTTGTTTGCCGGCTTCGCTTGGTCTCGAAGGCCCGTTTTCTGTGGGTCATCTGGTCTCCCAAGTCTGCCAAGCCTGTTGCACATGCTGATGCAGTGGTGACCTGCGTGTAAGAACCTTGTCCAGACAGACTGCCATATGCCTGACAGCCACTTTACTTCGCGCTCTGCTTACAGCTGCACAGGATGACAATGCGCATCAAGAGACCGCCGTCTTCACGATCGACTCGATCTTGAGACACGCGGCGCAGAACAAAGACGAGGATGGGGGGGGGGGGATTCGCAACATGATTCACCCAGCCATCTTCGGGCTTCCGCAGCCCCAGCTGTTCCTTTTGGGGATGGAGCATCGCGCAGGCACAACAAGCTGCTTTCCATCAAGCCTTTACCCGCAGGAGATTCGAAGTCTTTATGAGAGCAGGTTTGAGAAGCATCTGTGCCCCGCGGCTACATGAGTCTCGTATGTTTCTGTCTGTGGCAATGTGCTGCTTGAACTTCTCCTGTCCTGGTTGCACTCACCGAGCGATGTGTACTGTTGTGTACAAGTTGAGCCTGACTGAGCCTGCTTGGAGGTTCATGGTACTTACAAACAAATTAATCACTGTACTTACAACCCACTTATAAGCCCCTTACGTGGAGCCCAAGCCGCCAAACGGCCGAGGCAATGTATTCAAGCGTGCCCTCCACTCAGTGACGTCGCGGAAGCCGCTGGCTGAAAAGTTCTTCGAGATCTTGGGAAAGTGGAAGGAGAGAGGATGGTTTCAGGAAGCGCCGCCCGGCTGCCCCAAGCAGAAGCCGAAGAGGAAGGTGTGTATCTACAAAACAATACAAAACGCCATGGACCCAGCCCCCCTCCCCCCCCTTCAATAACCCAAGCTTCAGAATCTGAGTCACTCTGAGGCCATCGAGGGAGTCAAATCTTTTGATTTCCTTGGCACCGTAGTTTGACGCGAAATAAATTCCGAATCACTCTGAATGGAGGGGCATACTTGTCCTTGCATTTAAAGGCAATGAAATTAAGGCTCTATTTCTGGTTGATGAAAGTTTTAGTTGCAAATTCCGACTTCCTGGGCTTGAAGGGTCTTCTGTGCTAATGGCTTGGCCTATATCTCGAGCCAGATTGCAGACCGTTCTTTGGATGGCAAGTCCCTTTTCAAAGATAAAGGCCTTAAACCATTCATTTAAGTCACTGTGTTGAATCGCCTGAAGTCGGATTTCCGATTTAATTTTAACGCTACGTGGCCCGCCTGGCCCAACGCAGCTCCCGGACCAACGGCAGGGAAGGAAAGGGGGGGGCGGGGCCGGGGGGGGCGGTGGGGGAAGGGGGCGGGGGGGGGGGGGGGGGGGGGGTTGTTTTAGCTTCCTCCTATCGCGGACAAGGGGGCTCGGCGGACATATGTTCAGTGTAGAGAAGAGAGAGAGAGAGAGAGAGAGAGAGAGAGAGAGAGAGAGAGAGAGAGAGAGCGAGAGAGAGAGTCAACCCCCCCGAGCTCAAATAATCCAGTCGCCACAACAGGTGGGGGTGCGCGAACTGGGGGCTTGCCCCCAGGCCCCATGAACGAAAGAAAGAGATCCGGGGGGTCAAGCGTGCAGAGAGAGAGAGAGAGAGAGAGAGAGCGGCAGACTCTCTTGACAACCATCCTGCTGCAAGCGCTTTGAATCTTTTCATGTCCTAAATGATATCCCTGCATTTCCGTTCTGTGGAGGTTGTCTACCCTCAACCCTGACCCCTGCAGTTGGGCATTGTTGGGTTTGGAGATGTGATATTGCAACATCGGCCATACCCTGGGCTCCACCACAGGACATCCACATTGCTGCTCACTTGTGGCATTTTCTTCGCATTCCCATCTCGATCCCTTCCGTTTAACCCCCCCGGGCCTGAACCTCTCGCAGTGCCAGGGGGACGGCCATTCAGCATCGCCCGCATGTTGACACCGACCTTTTTCGTGAGGTGATCTTTGTCTAGGCCGCTTTAAACTTTCTGGTTGCTATGGTGCAGCTGCAATGCGTCAGCCCATGCTCAACAATCGTGCTGACCCATCATAAATTCCGTGCGACACCCTAAACCCTAAACCCTAAGCCCTAAGCCCGAAACCCTAAACCCTAAACCCTAAACCCTAAACCCTAAGCATGTGTGCCCATGTCAAGGCTTCCTGACGTCGTGAGTGCCATCGAGAAGGCTGCCGACGTGCACAAGCCCAACATCCTGTCGGAGGAGGGGATGGATGTGGACTCAATGAGCCACTGTCGCTGCAAGACTACAAGGAGTCTTTATAATTTACGGACCTTATTGACCCTATTAGCTTTATGAATCCTTTTAGCCCTATGAACCCTGTTAACCCTACTAACCTTATTAACCCTATTAACCCTATTAACCCTATTAACCCTATTAACCCTATCAACCCTCTTAACCCTCTTAACCCTGTTAACCCTATTCACCCTAAACCCTTACCTATAAGCCCCCTTATTAAGGCCGTATAAACCCCCACACACCCTGAACCCCTCGACTCCCCGACCTCACAAAGCCCCTAAACCACTTCGGCGAACCGTCAAAGCCATGTCCAGAGACCGCCAGAAGCGCCCCGAGGTGAGCCGGAGGTGCTTGCCGCTCTGCAGCAGAGCATGCCGATTCTTCCGATTTGTTTCGGTTCTCATATAGGGGGTCTCCAACATGAAGGGATCCCTTATTGGGTCCTCATTAGGGAGTCCTACTATTTGGGGCCGATCTGAGGGTCCTGTATTTTCGTAAACCCCCATATGATTTCGGTTCAGGGTTCTAACGAAATACCACTCCACCGTCGTGAAAACCACAGCGCGGATCCGATGTGGGGCAAATATTCACTGTCCAGCTGAGCCTTATCAGGCTAAACAGCAAGGAGGTAGGGTCTCCCGAAGGCCTCGGGAGGCCCCATCTTTCTTTTAGGAAAAGCAGCCGACGGGAACGAAGAAGAGGGAGGGATTACAGTGACTCAGTGATTGTGATCCAAATTGATCCGAAAAGGGGGCCTGGAAGCCTCTGTGGCAGTCGGCACGTACCCGTAACATGTGATGTGACGTGCAGAGCCAAGGATATCAAGGAGCCTGAGTCATGGGTGATGAACTCCGTGCCAGCCACTCCAGGATCCGAACTAAGACTTCAGGGTTTAGGACACGGCACGATAGGCTTTCGGCATGTGTGAGCATGCGTGTGTGTGTGTGTGTGTGTGTGTGTGTGTGTGTGTGTGTGTGTGTGTGTGTGTGTGTGTGTGTGTGTGTGTGTGTGTGTGTGTGTGTGTGTGTGTGTGTGTGTGTGTGTGTGTGTGTGTGTGTGTGTGTGTGTGTGTGTGTGTGTGTGTGTGTGTGTGTGTGTGTGTGGGTGTGTCTGTGTGTCTGTGTGTGTGTGTGTGTGTCTGTGTGTGTCTGTGTGTGTCTGTGTGTGTCTGTGTGTGTGTGTGTGTGTGTGTGTGTGTGGGTGTGTGTGTGTGTGCGTGTGCGTGTGTGCGTGTGCGTGTGTGCGTGTGCACGCGCGTGCATGTGTGATGTCCCATCCCTTGCCGAGGCATGCCGGCGGGCACCCCGACTGGCCAGCCCATGACACCTGGGCCATTGCAACGCCCGGCGGCAGCACCCATGACACCAGGCTTGGCGAAGGTGCCGGAAACTCCGACGGCAATGCCAGGCACGCCAGGCCTATTGAAAAACGTGCCAATGACCCCGGTAACAACCAAAGTCCTGAACTCCATGCCTCAAACACCGGCAGCAGTTCCAGGTACCCCGGCATGGGACACCTTCGGTTTCAAGGGGCAACCTGAGGTCATGAGTTCCGTGCCATCAACTCCTCTGGGACCAAAAGCACTTAAGGACTCAGTGCCAGGAACGCCACAAACCTGGAATCCAGCAACACCAGTGTCAGCGGCAGTCCTCGGCTCGGTCCCAGCGACACCATTCGGGGGCACACCTCTTGGCGTGCCGATGACACCTGTTCCCGGGGAGTCCACTCCTGGCATGCCGTCAGCATGGGTACCCAGCACACCTGTTCAAAACATGGTTCCAAGGACCCCCGGCGGTTTACCTCCCACGCCCACATATCTCCACCCCTTCAACGCGAATGCTGCGCCCCGAACTCCAGGTGCCGTGCCCCAAACCCCGTTTGGTGCCAGTACCGTGCCCCACACCCCAGTAGGTGCCGGTGCCGTCCCCCAAACGCCGACAGCTGGCATGGTGCCCTCAACAACGGCAGGTGCTGGCGCACCACAAACCCCAGCAGGGGCTGGCGCACCACAAACCCCGGCAGGCGCTGGCGCCCCGCAAACCCCAGCAGGCGCTGGCACGGCTCCCCAAACTCCAGCAGGTGCGGCACCCTACCATGCTGTCTCGGCGCCGCAAACTCCAGTTGGAGCGTTTGCGCAGCCTGCCGCCATGCCCCAAACTCCAGCTGGTGCTCAACAGCAGCCCCAGACGCCGAGTATGCCTCCACCAGCTGGGAAGCCTAGTGTGCCTCACACCCCAGGAGGACCACCTCCACCAACGCCAGTATCACAAGGTTCCCATCAACCACACACGCCAGGAGGGCCAGCACCGCCAACACCAGCGTCGTCTTCTAACCTGCCTGACACAATGAGAGGTACTCCGGCCTCACCAGCAGCCTCGCAAGCAAGCAATCAACCCCGCACACCTGGCGGGCCTCCACCACCAACACCTGCATCTCCACTCACGAATCAGCCATCCACGCCAGCATCAACTGGCCATCAACCCTTCACACCCGCAGGACCCCCACCGCCCACCCCTGCCCACCAACCCTTCACACCCGCGGGACCTCCACCTCCAACCCCCGCCAACCAACCCTCCACACCCGCAGGACCTCCACCCCCAACCCCTACCAACCAACCCTTCACACCCGCAGGACCCCCACCGCCCACCCCTGCCCACCAACCCTTCACACCTGCAGGACCTCCACCTCCAACTCCTACCAACCAACCCTTCACACCCGCAGGACCTCCACCTCCAACCCCGACCAACCAACCCTTCACACCCGCAGGCCCCGCACCGCCCACCCCCACCAACCAACCCTTCACGCCTGCAGGACCTCCACCTCCAACTCCTACCAACCAACCCTTCACACCCGCAGGACCTCCACCTCCAACCCCTGCCAACCAACCCTTCACACCCGCAGGACCCCCACCGCCCACCCCCACCAACCAACCCTTCACGCCTGCAGGACCTCCACCTCCAACCCCCGCTAACCAACCCTTCACACCCGCAGGACCTCCACCTCCAACCCCGGCCAACCAACCCTTCACACCTGCAGGACCCCCACCGCCCAGCCCGGCCAACCAACCCTCTACTGGAGCACCTGGCACTCCAGGCTTCGTGCCAATACCTGGTGGTGACGTGATGGTTCCGCAGACACCCGCCGTTGGGCTACCACCAGCACCAGGCACACCTGGAATGGCACCGGGGACTCCTGGCTGGGTGCCTGTTCCTGGAGGCCACATGGCTCCAGCAACTCCCGCGTTTCAGCCACCCCGTGTGCGGCAACCCGGATCACCAGCTCTATCAGCTGGTGTGTCGCCGCTACCCTGTGGATTGGATGAGCCGCTGGTTTCGCCTGACATGATTTCATCGGAAATGGCCTCGGCACCACAGATAGAAGTATCACCGCCTCTGGTTGAGCATGGGTCGGCCCAAATGGTTTCGCCTGAGATGCTTGAGGAGCCTGACGAGCCCCCAACAGTAACAGAGCCGGTAGAACCGGTGAACACCTTCTCCGTCCCAACTGCAACTTCCTGGATGGAGCCGACTGCAGAGCCTGCCACCGAGGCACATGATGTTTTGTTCGGTCTGAAGCTGATTCTGGATGCAGGTCTTTCACAGCTTCAGACAGCCACCCTAAACCCTAAGCTAAACTTTAAACCCTAAACCCTAAACCCTAAACTCTAAACCCTAAATCCTAAACCCTAAACCCTAAACCCTAAACCCTAAATCCCAAACCGAACTCCTACTTACACGCCCTAGCCTGCAGGTAGTGACAACGGTGTCGGAGCCGAGCGCAGAGGCGGGATTCTGCTCCAACTAAGCCTCAGGATCCCTTTACGCATAAGGGTTTGGGGTTTAGGGTTTAGGGTTTAGGGTTGAGGGTGTAGGGTTCAGGGTATAAGGCTGCACAAGAACTGATGGGACCTTTAAACGGGGCCATAGTTGAGAGAAGCGTGCAGAGTGGCAAATGTCAGACGAAATCATTCCGCAGGCCACGAAGCGTCGTCGCCTGAATGCCTCTTGGCCAGGTTACTCGAATTTCGCTTTAGGGTTTAGGTTTTTAGGGTTTCGGGTTTAGGGTTTAGGAGCTCAACTAAGGACTCCTATGGCCGAGTTCCCACTGATGAGCCGACTCTGCAGCGTGGCATAGAGCATTGCAAGTTTCGGGTTTAGGGTTTATGGTTTAGGGTTTAGGGTTGACCCAGAAGCAAGTTTACTCTTGTTCAAGACCGATACTATGCTCCCCTGTTGTCAGATTTGCATTACTTCGTTGAGTCGTCAGATTCTCTCATGCAGCCGGTAAGACAGGATATGCCACAACAGCTGACCTGTGCTGAGGACGATCCCTTCCAGTGATGCTGCCACAGAAGAGCCACGCTGATCCCTCCCTTCTTGCAAAGGCGGATGAAGGCACGAGCTGCCTGGTTGCAGTGATTTGACATGCGCATCACGAGTCTTTGCCTGTGCGATCTACATGTTTGCAACTGAGATTGCGTGACGTTCCTCCAGACCCTAAACCCTAAGCCCTAAAACCCTAAACCCTAAAACCTGAAACCCTAAACCCTAAGCTTGCTGAGGTCAAGACTTCTGCGGACAGATGTGAAGGCTTTGTAAGCTCGACAAGATCCCTGAGGGCAGCACATGACAAGGCGTATCAAGACGCGCTGTCAGTGCTTAGCTGCCCTCGCTTCAAGGATTCCAAGCTTGCTCCAAGCTGCAGAGCTGTTGGCACAGCTGCTGCTGCCTGCCTGCTTGCTGGCCTAGTCCACCTGCCCTAGTGACGTGTAGACGAATGAGTGGCTAGCATAGCGGCATTGCACATCGCAACGCAATGGTTCTTGTGAGCATAAACCTTGGTGGATGGAGCCACGGGCCATCATTCTTGCCGTCTTGACTGCATCTGCGGTGGTCGGAACAAGGGTGATTGTCAAGCTTGTGGCCGACAGCTGTGCATTCGTTGCCGTTCGCACTTAGCAGTTCTGCGCCCCGAAGCAGATCTGGAGGGTGCCGACCAAGTTCCATGGTCAGGGTTTTTAGTTCTTGCGTGTAGTCGTGCTCAGGGTGGGGCGCTTGCCTTCAGAAGTCGCGAGCAAGTGTAGCAGTCCGGAACGTAGCAGTCCCAGTGCTTGTCTGAAAGGGTAAAAAGAGGGCCCCCTAGAAGGACCCTTAATCTTATTCCCAAACTAACCCCCCAAAACCTTATATAGTGCCTATAGTCCTAAGTAACCCCCAACTAACCCCCAAGGTCCCTTAGAAGGGGGCCCCTCCTTTAGTCCCTTGATTGTCTCTCGTTGTCCCGCTCCGTTCCTCAGCTGGCTCGGGAGATGTGTGGGCGGTGACACAACATGATCAAGGAAACCAAGTGCCAGACTCAGCACGTCCACCTCCAGACCCCTTTCACGAGGGCTTCTGAGTATTATAGTTTTACTCTGATGCACTGTACATATTATATATTAGTATATTTCTATATGCATGAAATATGAAAACACAACTAAGCTATATCTATATCTATATATATATATATATATATAGGTGTATGTATATATATATATATATATACATATGTGTATGTATGTATGTCTGTATGTATGTCTGTATGTCTGTATGTCTGTATGTCTGTATGTCACAGTCTGTATGTAAGTATGCATGCATGCATGCATGCATGCATGCATGTATGTATGTATGTATGTATGGATGTATGCATGTATGTATGTATGTATGTATGTACGTATGTATATAGAAATGTATACATATATATAGAAAACATATATGTAGATGCATATATATATATATGTACAATATGTGTGCGTGTGTGTGTGTATATATATATATATATTGTCGGGCGATCACCTGAGGTTCGCGCCGACAGGCATTCTCTACTCCAAGGCCGAGAACGGACAGCAAAAGGGGCCGTGCCTTGCCCATATGGCCATATTGGTGGAAGCGCGCTTTAGTTCGGCGTTTGGGGTTTAGGGTTTGGGTTTAGGGTTTAGGGTTACTGCTTACCTGTAACTTTCTAGGCTTTGCGATCGAAGCTACTTAGTTGCAACTTCTTCCTCTTCGAAACAGCCTGATCCCTCGTCGATGGCGTTCGGCGCCTTGCGTTGTTACAAAAGCATGCACACACTGACCAGATCTGTTTTGATGGGGGAGACCTTTTGCAGTAACGTTTTTTCAGGAACTATCGTTACTGTTTCGATCTTCAACACGTACGCGTGCTTATGGCTACGGAATCCTGTTCTATTGAAAGGCCGTTCTTGGCCAACTAGGTCGTGATAGAAGAGACTTCGACATGAGTTAACACCCTGGTTGGAAGGATGTTTCAGGCTTCACTTTGTGATGTTACAGAATGTTCATAGACTGTCGAAGCCGTATGTGTCCAGAGATAGACATTCCTGTCGTGAACACACACACACATACACACACACACACACACACACAGGTTAGTGCAATGGTGTATAACCAATACACGACACAGCCACCTTGCTTTATTTCCTGTCTGCCCGCAGACACTCACGTCAGACACATCTCTTGGGATGTTCCCCCTGATACTAACAGTCCTTAGTAGGGACGACAGTACCCCCCCCCCCCTACTATAATCCCGATTAAGGACTGTTAGTATCAGGGGGAACATCCCAACACATCTCATTTTGAGAGCGCCCTCGCTTCGAATGAAGAGGATTGGAGACACATTTTCACGCGAGAGTGCCAGCTTGAAGAAAGAGTATTTAAAATTTAGACCCCTCTCACTCGAGAGCTCTTTTGCTTGAGTGGAAAGTGAGCCATGCTCTCGTTTGCAAGTAGGAGAGAATTTTATGTTCAGAAAAAACAAATGGCTTGACATGAATAGAGATTGAAGCAGCGTACTCTTGACAAATTGAATATTGAATGTCCCCCCCTCTTCCAATCTTTGTAAATATCTGAACTGGTTAATGAACAGAATTGGATGTCAACTATGATTCGTGAGGATAATACAGAGCATAGGCCTAAACAAATGGAAACAGTAAGCGGAAAGCTCTTTGTTAATTTGGGCTTTGTAATGGCAGATAGTAGTTCAAAATGAAATACTATACATGAGTAAGGAATAAAGGACTGGTACCTTCACAAAATAGACATCAACCTTTTGCGTGCAGAGATTTGAGATGAGCAAAGGCTGGAAAGCCACGTTCTTTGGCAATTAGGGATCAGTTAAAACAGCAAATTGCTTGTAACTTCAGGATTCTTTCGTTCATCACATGAATAGTTTGAAGGGGCCGTAACGCCCAACGCGGGGTGTAGTGTGCGCATCGCAGACGAAGGAGAGCCAATTCTTATGTCACTTGGTGCAGCACCACGCATGTCATGAGGTAGGAGGGCTTGGAGGGATGGTTTGAAGGGGGTTCGGGGTCCCACAAGAGGTCTTGGGCGTGCCATGAACGGTTTCAGGGTCCCCAAAACTTGGTGCTCGTTGGCGTGATCTCTGTGTGGGAGGGGCCCACACCTGCGGCGTCGGATTGCGGCTCCTCAAAGCGGTTCGGGCAAGTCCCACGGGGGAGGGGGGGGGGAGGGGTGCACAGAAATTTGTGGACCGGATTCTAGACACTTCTCAAAATGTAGATATATATATATATATGTGTATACACACATATATATATGTGTATATATATATATATATATTTGATCATACGTTGCCAGTAGCATAGTACACTCTGATCTGTGTATAAAAAGCCAGAATCAATACCAATAGAAGAGAGAAGTATTCAATAAGAACATCGACATCCTAATTATTAGCTGTTAGTGTTTTGGTTGGTTGATACCGGGTATTTGACATAATCTGCATCTGTAGTCTTTGTTTGGACCGTTTGACACACTAAACAAGAAGACGTACAGGACGTCCTCGTCGAACATTCAGACTGGAGAATTTCCGGTCAAAGCCCAAAAGAAGTAGGTTTGTAGAGGCTTCTTTCTTGTGTACAGAGCAAGTAGTGACATGAAACGATGCACAATTAAGAGCATCATATTCAAGTATAGAGGGAATCGAGACATCCACGGCGCGACTTGGAAGGCGCCCGGCGCCCGGGTGAGAGGCACGAAACAGAACACAAAAAAACATACTCGCAAAGAGAGTAACAGTCCTTATGTCTTCCCTTCCCTTCTCAGCTTGAAGGGCTTAGGGCTTTGCCATTCGCACCATGCATGCTCATCCTTTTAGGCTTCAGGGCTCGCCTTAGGACATCCCCTTAGCAGGGGGAGGGGGGTGGTGGACCTTTCTGAGAGGCCCTGTGAGACACAAGAATGTTACAAGTGCGCAAAACAAGTTACAACTACAACACACAAGAGCTACAACCAACCTAACCACCGCATTTTTCTAGGGCTTTAAGGGTTCCGGGGAAACTTCAGCTGGAACTGCCTTCCACGCCGCATTGCCTACTGTTGGTGAGTAGGGAATGGGGGAATGCGGTACCCTATAGAATCCCTGAAAGGGTATATAGGGGGACATGTAGGAGATATATGGTACCTTATCCCCCCATTCCCTACTAACCAACAGTAAGAAAAGCCAGTTAAACCCTAAGCCCTAAGCCCTAAACCCTAAACCCCAAACCCGAACCCCTAAACCCTAAACCCTAAACCCTAAACCCTAAACCCTAAACCCTAAACCCTAAACCCTAAACCCTAAACAGTAAGATTGAGGTTCAAGATCGGTGGCGTGGAGCGGGCGCCGCGAACTGGTGAGCATCCCTTTGAAGCGCTCCACACCGGTGCCTTCAAGACCAAGGCCCTGAAGACGGAGGCCTCTCTGGGTTTCGGGTTTAGGGTTTAGGGTTTAGGGATGTTTAGGGTTTAGGGTTTAGGGTTTAGGGTTTAGGGTTTAGGGTTTAGGGTTTAGGGTTTAGGGTTTAGGGTTTAGGGTTTAGGGTTTGGGGAGTCAGGCTGCGATGCTCAAGAGGCCCCGAAAGAGCCCCCAAGAGGGTTCTTTTTCAGCTTATCCACGCTCCCCATTGACCCAGTTTACCCAGTGCACCTCTGATGGACGAACCTCATCTTCAATGTGTGTACCTGATTCTCGAACGGATGTGCGGTCATTTACAAAACGGTCGCCTGTACAAAGGCTTCTCAACGCTGCCAACATCATTGTTCCTTTTCGAGGTTTCCTTAGAACCACATTAAATGCACTCCAAGCCAAACCCCAAATCTGTCGCTCGCGCTTGCGAGCTTAGCTCAGAACAGGTCCAGAATACATTTGGACATGTGGCGAGGTACGGAAAACGTCCGCGGAGGCAATCTGTAGACATGTAGCCGCAATCCGTCTTACAATCAACTCCCGAAGTGCATCAATGTGCACCCTGGAGGGCCCGTTGTTGTCAGGGTCATTCCCAACAATCTTGTTGCTCCGTGTGAGTTGTGAACTGTTGTCATGAACAGGGCGTCCTCAGCAGCGCCAACGGCCGACACAATCAGTTCGCCCTTGCTGCGAAGAGCTTCCAGGCTGGCCCTCGCAGCCATGTCGTCAGAATGCTGTCGGGTCTTTTGAGTTGTGAGAGTAACTGAGACTTCCTTCCCCAGCCCAGGCACCGTCCACAATATCAGCACAGTTCCTAGTTTGCTTAGATGCTCATCTGCCATTCTCTCCCGGAAAGCACCGAACCTTGCAAGCCTTGAGTGAGACTTCGCAGGGCCCGCCAACAGTCAAGCCTGCCGGTGCCATTGGTGATGGCCTGGAGAGCCTGGAGTCGAAAGCCTTCGAGTGAGCCGGCAATGCCCTAGAACACAAACTGCGTGCCGAAGTAGCTGCCATACTGAATTTTTTTATACTAGTTCAGTATTTTGTTTATTCTGTTAACAGTACACATGTTATGACTTTTATACAATATGGCTAGACTTGACCAGGGATTTCAGCAAGGCCTTGTGTGGACCGAACAGCACAACCCTAGCTGATCTCCTACACTGAGCATTAGCTTCCAAGCATCGGATCGTGCCTTGCGGCAAAAAGTGATGGAGGGGACCACTTTCTGTCTCTTGCGCAAGGCACGTCGTGATGTGACAAACTGGGGGTTTACCAAAATAGGGGAACCCCTTAAATAGTAGGATCCCCTTGTAATAAGGACCCCAAGAAGATACCCCTAATATCGTAAACCCCCAACTGCTCCTTCCTGCTCAAAGCCAGCTTGTGGGCTCGAAGTGCCACCTCAGAACCATGACTTGGCAGGCGCGGGGTTTCAGGAAAGCTCTTGCGAGCTTCCGTGAGTTCTTGCTACACCTGAGGTCCTGATATTTCAGGGATTGAAGGCCTTAAGCCTGTGACACGTCAGGAGCATCTGCTGCAAACTGAACCGAAGGTTTCTCTGATTGTCGTGGAATTGTCCTGGCAAGAAGGGTTTGCATTGGAGTGCCGCTCCCCGTGATGCCAGCTTTGGTCTACCCCACTCTCAAGTCTCACACTTGGCAGCTAAGACTGGGTCAATGAAAGACTAAGCTGGCATCGACTATCAAGCTGACCAAAACAGTAGCAAGGCACCAAACGGGTAGGATCTCAGCTTGACAGGCGAGACGTGCCAATCCAAAGCAAATCACGAAGCGATTGCGCCGTCTTTGCTTGTCCGTCTGCACTCTGATGCTTGGCAGGGCCGGTGTCTTCTGCCAAGAGCGGCCATGCCTTTTCCGGGCACCCCTCAAGGCAAGGAGTTTCTAGCGGCAACACACCTTGAACCTCCGGGCAGATCTGCTCAACGCGTGCTTTGCAGAGTGCTGGAGGCCCTGTTGATGATGCTGAGGTGCCCCGCGCAGTGCATGAACGGCTGTCGTGGAAGAAATGGGGGTTGGAGTGGCTGCTCTCTGTACTGCAGAAGGGCGGGTGCAATGACTGAACACTGCGAGCGCAGGTTGATATCGAGGACTCGCCCCGGCTGCCATCAGATTGGTCTCCGCTGGAATACGAGCTTCTCGAGTGTCCAGCCATGAACTTCATGAACAATTCTATAACTCCTCAATAAGTGTGTCAACACTGAGGGGCTCCAACAGCAAGCTAGATCGCCGGAACCGTGAGGCGGTTTGTCCACTTTGAACGAAAATCGCGCTGTCGCCTAGGCGCGGGCGTGGCCACGCTCTTTTGGACGTTGGGCTCGCGAAATGCGAAACCGTCTTTCACTTTTGGAGTACTTGGCATGGTCTCTCACTGTTTGGGGTCTGCGCCGGCACTATATGTCATGCACAAATGTTCACATCAGCGTAGCACGGAGGTATGCAGACTCCTTGCCCTCGGGCTTTGCCGAGCGCATCGGCAGAGAACTTGAGGCATGAGCATTCATGAGCGTTCTGCCGCACCTGGAGGGTTTGTCACGAGCACCTGCGGCTAGGTTAGTGGCTGGTTGTAGGGCTGCAGAGTCTTACGCACCACTTCAGGCTTATCCTTGTCTGGTGGGCAATGACAAGCAAAGCTTCCGGAAACGCTCATCATGGTGCCATCTGCTCCACCAAAAAACAGCCGAACCCCCGAAGGGCCAGCATCGTCGAGTCGCGCAGTTGCGCAGCCTCAACTCGCTGATGCTGCGTGTCCTCCAGTGTGAGGCTTGGAAAGCGGAAAGTACTCATGTTCGTAGCCTTAGCCGCAGCTGCCGAGAGTTTTATAGCCGCCCATAGCCCTTGCGCAGGGGCATGCGAAGTGCGGCGGAGCGACGAGCCAGGCAAATTGCTGAAAAAAAACGCAGAAGTCTCTCAGACGTGCGGTGTTTCTTTGCAGCTTGCAGTCCTTTCGAAGGTGCCCTCGCTTTCCGAGACACCTCGCCAGCTGCAGGCTGCAGCCTGAATACCCCACAATGCCGCATATTTTAAGATTCCTGTGTCTGCGGCGGCATAGCTACGACAGGAAGAGGTAACATGAGGCACCCAATGTCCCAAGCGCCCCTGAGGCTTGGTCACTTGGGGGTTGTTTCGAAATTCGGGGGCTACCTTATTGGGGTCCTTGTTAGAAGGGGATCCTACTATTTGGGTGGTTGTCCTTTTTGGATCCCGATTATAAATATATTTCTGCACCTAATATCTAGGGTACCCCAAAAGGGATCATAATCTTGACAACCATTCATTTGGGGGTCTATATTCGGGGTCCCCTATTGTCGTAAACCCCCCACTGGGGGCTCAGGTGGAGACTCGGAATGACTGCTCTCCAAAAGCACCTGCGGTGCCCAAAGCCTGGCGGGTTCGGGCGCCAAGTGGCCTCATAGGCCCTAAACCCCAACCCTAAGCCCTAAGCCCTAAGCCCTAAACCCTAAACCCTAAACCCTAAACCCTAAACCCTAAACCCTAAACCCTAAACCCTAAACCCTAAAACCTAAACCCTAAACCCTAAACCCTAAACCCTAAACCCTAAACCCCTAAACCTAAACCCCTAACCCCTAAACCCCAAACCTCCCCTAAACCCCAAACCTTGGACTCATGGAATCTTCATCCCATACCATTGAAGGCTGCCCAACCTGCTTGCTTTAATTGCTTTTAGTTAGCCTTATTCCACTGAATATTTGGCTGTGTTACTTAATCCATTTTATTTTATTCTTCTTTCTTTTAAGCGTTGTTATTCTTATTTACTTGCGCCTTATTGTATAGGTTTTGAATTATTTGTATATTACTTTAATTTATTTAGTGCGCTTTTTGTTTTTGTTAATGCTTTGCCTTTGCTTTTAATCTGTTGCACTTTTCGCTTTTGGAGAATGCCAAAACAGGCCCCTCTCAATTAGAAATTGAAATAATCATGAAGATCTGACTCGTTAGAGCCTTGTGTGGGCTCTCGGAACCGAGATGGTGTGCTTCGACGCAAGTAGTTCATAATGCGGCTTGCTTCTCATATGCCCCATTACTTGGGATGCTCCCCCCTATACTTTCAGTCCTTAATAGGGATGATAATAGGGGCACTAGAATCCCTCTTAAGGACTGTTAGTACACCCACTCATCACTATGCCCCCATCCTTTTGTGGCCTCTGACAAAGGAGCCCACGGGCTCGGTTTGCTCGGCCTCTTCGCCGAAAGAGGCGAGGACTATGACAGCTTCGAGACTTTGAGCCTCCGATCGCTGACCACTTCGAGAAAGTATCCGCTTAGGGAGTTTGGGAACCATCGCCCAGCTTCCGGCGTCCTTAAATCGTGCTTCGAACTCCGACTGCCTCAGAGGCTTCCCAGCGCCTGGTGCTGGCCTCTGTGTCCAGACAGCTGGAACTCAAGGTCTTCGAGGTCCGGGGCTCGGATTCCCGTGCTGCCAGTGCTTCTTTGTGTGTTCCGTGGTGTTTTGACCGTAAACCCTAAACCCTAAACCCTAAACCCTAAACCCTAAACCCTAAACCCTAAACCCTAAACCCTAAACCCTAATCCCTAAACCCTAAACCCTGAACCCTGAACCCTGAACCCTAAACCCTAAACCCTAAACCCTAAACCCCCTAAACCCTACACCCTAAACCCTAAACCCTAAAACCCTAAAACCCTAAACCCTAAACCTTAAACCCTAAACCCTAAACCCTAAATGAGAATTCTCCGTTGCAGGTACGCCATGCTGCGGAGCGGGAACTCAAGGTCTCATGCTTCAATCCACCCTCTCATGGTGCCTTGCGTTCCAATGTTAACGGCTGCTGAAAAAGTGAACACGCCCCTTGTTCCAAGTTTGCGTGTTGTTTGTTTCTAGAATGCGCCCTCGATGTAGTCAGGCCCCAATGACAGTGGCACCCTGGCCGATGTTTCGTTCTGGCCGATTCTAGCCCCACAAGTCTCGGGGGACCCGGAGCAAGTGCAGAAGGAGCTGGCTCGCCGCGTCAGGGCTGCGGAGGCGCGGACGATGGCGCAAGGGTTTAGGGTTTAGGGTTTAGGGTTTAGGGTTTAGGGGAAGCCACTGCGCCAGGAAAACAGCTTCAAGCTGCGCAAAGAGTCATGCAGCGAGGATGTGGCGGGCCGCAAGAAGCTGTGGGAGGCCTTGTTGGCGCACCGCAGAGTTACGACACATGTCCAGAGCCCTTCCCATCTTTTTGAAAAGGCAGAGACGAAGTTGAATCGACTTCAAAATCGTCGCAGCCCTGGGTGTCTTCCAGCCTTCCACTGATGCTGTTGCGGAAAGAGACTGCAACGCGGAACTGAGTCAGCTGAATGTGGGAGTTTCCGAAAGTAGGGGTGCCTTCTTGGGGTCCTTATGATACAGAATCCTACTATTTGGGGAATTTGGGGGTCTCTATTCCTAAACCCTTATGTTCGTAAACCCCCCATGGTGTGTCTCCACTGCGTCCGAGGTGTCCAGCAGCTTGAAACCCGGCGCAGGACCTGGGCCCGCAAGCTGCGACAGCGCGAGGAGGAGGCAAGACACGGCAACATGTTGGGGTGCCGCGGGTCATGTACGGCACTCTCCTACATGTTTGGGGTGTAGGGTTCCGGGTTTAGGGTTTAGCCAGAAGGCTGGTGGTTGAGAGAGAGGAACACATGGAATGGGATTTTCGAAGCCTCTTGCGCTGGCAGCAGCACCGCGTCAGCTTTTGCCTGTAGATTTCGGATGCTGCAATCCAAGACAACAACCAGCAACAGCATGCATCGGCCGCCATCAAACATGGCACAAAAAGAGTCGCTGCAGCAGTTTTGAAGTCTTTCTTGCAGTGGCAGCTCACAGGTTCGACAGGCGACGATCTCCATCGCTGAGATGTCGGCGGAGGCGCAACTTTTCTGGCAGCTCCCCGGCCCCACAAAGTGCAACAAGTCGGAATCTTTGGCCGCGTGTATCAGTGCTCTGAACTCTCTGAAGGCTCCAGTGCAGCTCGGCGTTGTAAGACTGGCTGACTGGCAACATGAACAGGGGAAGTGCGGGAAGGTGGAAGCATTGGCCACATCGCCAGTTCTCCATGGTTGCCCCAAAATTGCATTGCCAGGTAAACGCCGTTCGGGCGCAGGCGAAGGACTTGGACCCGAAGTCCTGTTTCTTGAAAGCTACCTGAGGCTCACTTGACGGCCTACAGGGTATCAGTCAGATTCGCATGTTGCTTTGCGGCTTCTCGCATCCCTCGCAGCTCGCACTCAGAGAGCCGGAGGCCATGTCAGATTCGAAAAGAACTTCAGGCGGAATGTTAGATCATCACCTCTCACCACCACACCTAGAACCTCACATCCCCCTTAAAGTGCTGTCGCCTCCCTGGGACTGGGCCATGGCTACCTTGATCCACCATGGCGAGACCCCTTCACACGAGGAGCCGCACATGGTGGGATCTAGGGTGTTGATTCGACTGATTTGGGGGGTTTCCGAAATTAGGGGTACCTTTTGGGTCCTGACCTTCTACTTTTTGGTTTCTTTTAGGGCTCAGGGCCCCGTATTTTTATAAACCCCATTTTGAGGGGTTTGTTCAAGGTAGCCCAGCGGTACCCTTTACCCATTTTTTGGGGTTCAAGGTTCCCTTATAAAGCAAGCAACCCCCCCAAAAAAGAGGGTGCCCTTACAATATGGTTACTGGGCTACCAAGGGTTAACACAAAAACACCCAGGAAAACGCAGGTCTCCCACAAAGCGCCCTGCAGAAAAAGCCATCTTGTTTCAGAAGAGTTTGGATGTTCCCCCTTAACAGTCCTTAACAGGGAGTATATAGTACCCGTTACTGTAACCCTTATACGGATACATACGAATACTATGATTCGTATAAGGCTGAACATGCCAACATACGAGCACAAAAGGCCGTTCTTCACCTCAGCGCAGGATGAGAGCAACATTTCCCAGCTGTTCAGGCGACCTGGCTTCAAAGGCAGTGAAATCCCTAAACCCTAAACCGGAAACCCTAAACCCTAAACCCTAAACCCTAAACCCTAAACCCTAAACCCTAACCCTAAACCCTAAACCCTAAACCCTAAATTCCTGGAGCCCAAAAGCATCGTGTGCTCATCGAAAAAAGTCCGCTCATCGCATGCTGTCATGAGGCCACCACAGAGGCCGCGGGCTTCCAGCGTGACGCTTGCTCCGCGCTTCAGCGCCGATGTCGAGGCAGAGCTTTGCTGGTACGACGAGTCGAAGAAAATGGGCGGAGGAAACTTGCGCATGGTTTCGCAGCCTTATTCTCAGGGATGTGTTCGAATGGCTGCGACATTGTTTTGTTGAGTTGTTTTGCTTTTAAACTTGTTCGGCAATTTGTCTGATGAGGAGCTCGAGGGTAATTCTAAGTTCGCAGGCAGGCAACCTGGATGCTTTAACTCGGAAACGTGTTTAGTTGTCACGTTTGGTTTTGCTTTGTTGGGGCCTTTGGGTATGTTCATCCTTCTCTTTGCCTTAGTTGTGTCTTCAGTTTCTTCTAGCTGCTTTGAGGCTGCTTGTTCCAGGCCCCCTCCCCCTCCCACCACGCTACAGAAACACGGGCCAGCATCCTCGAAACTTTGGCTTTGCTCTCGCGCGGCAGAAAACAGAGTGGGGATGAAGGCCTCTTTTATGTCTCAGGGCTTGTGAGAAAACAGTAGCCACTACGTTGGCATCAGGCCTACACAGGCTGCACGCTCGAATGCGACATTCCTTTATGGCTTAGGCTTCGTAAGTTATGATCTTCCTTCTAGGCTTCAGGCTCTGTTAAACTGCTGTCCTGCAACTGTTGTGCTCAGTACTAGTATCAAGTAGGAATCCCCTTCAGCAACTCCCCGTTTTAGGGTGGCTTTGGGAGACATTTCTCTTCAGGGAGAAGGCTTGTCCGGCCTCATGATCAAGGTATCCTGATTCGTGCCCTTAAAGTTGTGCCCTAAAAATAGGGTTCCCTTGATACTCCCCATGTTCCCTTAGAGGGATCTTATAAACGGTGTCCAAAGCCCAGGGTACATCCTTAGGAGTCCCCAGGTACGCTTGCCAGGCTTGCAGGGTTTGGATCTCTTTCGTTTTGGGACGCTTTGGGTTGAGATTGCTAGTCTGCGTTGACAGAGGATTTGTGATGATGTATTCGTTTCTGCACAAACCTTGAAGCTGAGATGCAGTAAAGCTTGAAACGGCGAACCAATGTGCTTCCCAAGCAGGTGGCGCGGCTGCTAGTGACATGCTCAGTCTGTTGATACTCACGAGTGCAGCATGTCGCTGGTTCAAGCGTTCGCGGTTATCATGCGCGGATGTCATAGTCAGGTGCCGATGTAATCAGCCAACATGGTTCGGACTTAAGGGTTTGATTCCATATCGGTGTCTGTACGTATGTATAATATAGTATTGTATTTTCCCCTCTCCATGATCCACCGAGGCACACCTAGATTGAAGGACATTCTCTATACGAGCACATCGAGAACACATGAGAAAATAGCGCTTGTTCATCTTATTCTAGTTTAAATTCATTTCAGTTTGTTTTGGTTTTATTGCAGGGCTTGTATCGCGCAGGCTCACCGATTTCTACATTCCAGAATAACAGAAATTGGACTTCGTCACTCCAAGTCCTGGATTAACCAAATTGCTAGATTTCAGGATTCAATCTCGCTCCTGAAGGTAACAAAGTAAAAATTATTATCCGGTACTTGGGGTGAATCAATCATGACGTCCAGAAATCCAGAAATGTGAGGGAGGATCAAGGAGGGGAAAGGACATGTGTATATTCATTATTCGTTTTCGCTTGCTTGCTGCCGTTCGGTAGCTTCGAATTTCCGGGACAGCTGTGCCGTCGAGGACATATATATATATATACATACAACGTTAGTATATTAACGTATCATTATTCTTATATTACTCTTTTTGTATGTTTATATTATTATATGATTATTTTATTAGAGCAATATATGAATATACTGGTGTATGATTCATGTATGATTCTGTTATTGTATCTTGTTTTATACGAGTATATGATACTATCATCATATCATAATATCCTGGTATCAATATATCATGATATGATCATGTCACTACTCCATTTTATTCTCGTACATGATTATATCATTGCATTGTGCAAAGTAAACAGTGCCTTACAGACATGACTTTCGTACAAGGCAGCTCGGCGGCCCAAGTCGCAACCTTCACAGGCCAGCCGGCAGTCCTGCACAGAGTGCAACGGCAGGATAAGCAGAGCAGAGCCTTGCGTTTTGCATGTGACCCCGGGTTTAAGGTGCAGGGTTTAGCCCTGTGCTGCACGTGACCCCTCGCCCCCCACCCCCCCTCCCTGCAAAGGCCCTTGCGGGAAGGAGCCCCGACTTACCATGGGTTGAGGACGAGCTTCATGCAGAGGCGCCGTGCAGTGTTGAGTGTCATGGTGTGTCATCTCTGGCTTCAGGCCTTCTTCATTTTTCATGATCATGACCTGCAGGCAGACGATGTGGATGCCCAGGGCGCTGTGACGGCCGCTGAGGACACTGCTGAGGCCGACCTTTGCCTGGAGAATGCACACGAAGCCCACTTCCACGAGCGAAAGTATGCACACGATCGCGCACATGTGCATTCGTAGTTCGCAGCCTCATCCAAGGAGCAAGAGCCATCCCAGGCCGCTCCAAGGCCAAGCCGGCTTCCGGCGGCAGTGACGCGGCGACACGGCGAGGAGCACCTGGGGGCTTCGCACCCTGCGCTGCGAAGCTGCTTCTACAACAGAGTCACTAGAGTCATAGAGCCCCCTGTTGGGGCTCATCCGGCCTTCTCCCACCCCCTGAGCAAGGAGGCACGGCGTGGTGCCCATCGCCAAGTGCCTCGGAAGGATCAGGGAGCGACTTCAAGGATCAGGGAGCGACTTCGGACTGAGGGGGGGGCCTTTGCGGGTGGTTGTTCACAGGGGTGTCAGGGTGACAGGCAGTTTGCGAAGGTGCCGATAAGCCTCTTGACACTCATCTCGACGCCACAATGCCCACCGATGCCACACGAAGCTGTTGATAGAGTTCTGAATAGTCAGGGCATGCATAAACGGCTTTAAGTTTAAAGCCTTAATCGTTGATGAGCATTTAAAGATCACTGGTGTCAGATCTCACCGTGCTCAGGCAGGGCCTCATGCCGGCGTGCCCTCCCCCATCAGCCTGCAGGCATGGTTTGAGGCCGGGTCAGTCTGGGTTTAGGGTTTGGGGTTTGGGGTTTGGGGTTTGGGGTTTGGGGTTTGGGGTTTGGGTTTGGGGTTTAGGGGTTGCTTATTCAGTTCTTGGTTTGTTTAGCGTCGTCACCACCACCTCCACAACCCCGTCGCCCTTCAAGAACCATTCCCTTTGAGGGGAGGTCTCTGCTTTAGAATGCATGTCAGCAGCTGTGATTTTCATGGCAACCCAAACTCAGTGCGTTCTTTTGTTCACTAATTCTTTCACTCACTCGCTCATTATAACTCGTGCGCCGTGTCGCTCACTTTGTTCACTCACTTCTTACAATTGTAGTTCGCTCTTTCCTAAAGACCGTATCATCCTGGAACTTGGAGCCCTGAATCATATTGTTGTTACTGGCTCAAAGACCCAGCCTTAATTTGATCTACTTAGGGGCTTTTTGCGAGCATTGCATTTACTGGCAGTGTCTTTGTCTTTCCCAAAAGAGCCTAAAATGTACTAATCTATAAGGACGTGAGGATTGGCGGACGCAGAGTGAATCATGCCCGCCCGCCTTTGCCCAAGCAGCTGTCTGTTCATGTTACTGTCGCCTGGAATATATGACAGAGTCCTTTTGATTCATCCTTTTTCGGAACAGAAATGCTTATCCGCTTATTTATTCCTACGGGACATGTTCTGCACCAGCTCAAATTATTTGTATGGTCACCTTCTCCGAGGGAGAAAAAGCCATGAATGGGAGTTCATTGAGCACAGATTTGTGAGTTTCGAGGGTTCCTGGGTACAGGAGTACGTTGACCTGGTCGCTCAAAAGGTGTGTTTGCTCAGCAAATTGCAGGAAATTGCGCAAAACCGCACACCAACGGAGAACTACCTGGATCAGGCTGGGTACTTGTCACCCCTAGCGCAGCACCTATTGGGAAGGATGGCAGCTTATAGTGCAATTGCTTTGCTTGGAAGCCGCCTGGCAAGGCAGCCCTTGATGGAAGCCTGTGGTAGATGTGTCATCCACCGCACACTACACTCACATCCTCTAATGGCTCTAATCTTGCTCCGATGAAGAAGTCTTGCCACACCTCTGCGAAGGAGGACCCGACAGCCACGGCATCCGCTCCTCGGGCCAAATTTTTTTCGCCTGTGAGCCCGAAGGCAGGCTTGCAGTGCAGTAAGTGCTTCCACAGGGAGGCCCTTGCGAGGTCCAAGCTTGTCCTTGGGATGTTCGTGAATACCAAACCTAAACCCTAAACCCTAAACCCTAAACCCTAAACCCTAAACCCTAAACCACATGAACTCCTGCCTTGTAAGCTGTGACTGTGAACCAAGGGCCTGCCGCACTGGTTCATCCCTGGCCATGCTGCAGCCGCCTGGGCTTCACATTGGGTCTCTGCTTTCAAGAACGACTTGGATTCGGTGCCATCCGGCAGACATGTTCTATAGGGTAGCATGCGGTCACCCTGCGAAGGCGCCGATGGATACCACGGGAACGCAGCAACTGACGCCTGCGCAGACCCTGCAGGCGATCCATCCCACAGCTGCTTGCCTTCAAGCATGTAGGGTTTAGGGTTTATGGTTTAGGGTTTCTGGTTTAGGGTTCAGGGTCTAGGGTTTACGGTTGAATGCTCTCGGAGAAGCAGCACGTCTGAAATGTCTTCACGGTTCACGTGCAGAGACTTTTTGCTATGCAGACGTGTCTACGTGCCAAGCTTGCTGCTGTACAGCATAATCACTTAGACTCCAACCCGATGTTTTGCAGGCGGGCATGCCGTCGATCTAGGTTCCACTAGCTGCGCCTTGCCAACCGGAACGATGTCCAACACATGTCTGGTTTGACACTAATCTGTGTGACCCTTGACAAGCTGCATCAACGATCGCTCGCACCACATCCCCACAGCTCGCAGGCAGCGCATCGTATGGCCAACAACCCCCCGTAAAATCCAAAACTCTGGCCCCCAAGCAGAAACCGAGGCGCGCGACCGCCGACAGGGCCGCCGTTCGGTTAGTGCGCCGCGGCTGTCGCGAGGCTGGGTGCGGACGTTTTTGTTTTTGGTTTTCTTTAGGGCTTGGGATCTGAGAGTTTTGGGAATCCGGGTTTAGGGATCAATGTCTGCAAAAAGGGGTGTACTTTGCGGATGGGTTGGCGTAGAATCGGGAGCTTTTTCCTGCTGTTTGAAGTTTAGGGCATTTTAGGGCAATAAATATGCCGTTCTTACATCGGGGGTTGATGATAAGGTTTCAAGCTTCGGATTTCTCAGTGGAATCTGCAGATGCCCAGGGGTTAGGCTCTCTGTTCTGGTGCTTCTCCCTCATCAGCTCGTGTTTTCATGTATTTCCCAGATGAACGATGGCATAGCGGTGTAGAGTGTAGAGTCTAGGCCATGCTTGAATGCAAACGGTGCTCATACCAGTTCACAGTTGCAGCGTTCAACTGCATGTCACATCGGTCACGTGGCTGGATGTGCAGGGCACCGCGTGCCTCCGGAACGACGCCACTCGATTCAACTGTTGAATGGCCTGAATGCAATCATTGTGGTACTCACTGAGCACATGCGCAGGAGTAATGTCGAGATCATCTGTGGGAGAGAGTTTGACTAGCCTCTTCTGACTACGGGGTGCGCATGAGAGCCGCGCACTGCTTACGACAACTGGAGGCCCCATCCCCGTTCGCCGAACAAACTTGCCCAACAACGAGCTGGACTTCCGCTCCAGCGACTTTGGCAGAGCAATGCGTGAGATTCCCTACACATTGCACCAGGTTCCCAACAGCACAAGTGCAACCACGCCAGTATACGCAAGTCACAAAGTCTGTATACTTCGCAGACTTTAAGCGAATTCCATAGTGCTGCATGCTGTAATGAACAGTCGTACCGAATACCCTAAACCTTAAACCCTGAACCCTAAACCGCCCACTGAACTCTCCGGAAATTTCTTGGCCAGTCCGGGTCTTTGCGCCCTTGGCTCGGGAGATCCAGATGTTTCATCGGCGCTCGACGGGTGCGCAGGCCGTCGGCGAGTTTCTTGTGGGACTCTTGCGGGTTTGCGGGGTTGTTGGTGCTGTGCCCTAGAAACTTTAAGCCCTCCAAGCCTAGTACTGTAGGTGGGTAGCGACGTGTTCTTTCTTACTTCTGAGGGCTTATTGGGTGCCAGCGCCCTGGACGAATGCGCTTGAACAGCACATCTTTTTCTGTACCTGCATCACACCTAGTCAAAGTCAAGCAGAGTTCAGCGGAGTTCTTGAAATCTGCTGTCCAGTGCCGACCCTGCCGGGGTTCTTCAGTTCAATCTCCTGGTTCCTTCTTGTCAGAGCCTCACGCATGACCATGGAGGTCTCGGCTCGGCCGGCAGCAGAGCAGGCCCCCCCGCCATTCATGGCGAAAGGATGTGGACCCTAAACCCTAAACCCTAAACCCTAAACCCTAAACCCTAAACCCTAAACCCTAAACCCTAAACCCTAAACCCTAAACCAGGCGTCTCGGCTAGGCAGGGTTTGCGTAGTTTCTTGACTAGCTTCAAGTCCGCGCCCTAGCCTAAGCCTGACCCCAGTGCGTGGCGTGCCCTCGCCCGCGATATCAGGTGTTTCTTCCGTGTCCGCACGTGCGACGGTTGAAACTAGCCCTAACCCCAGCCATTGTGGAACGTCAGCTCTCTGGACTCGCTGCCTTAACTGCGCCGACTCCGTGACTTGCTGTGGATTTTCCAGGTTGAGTGTACAAGTCGCTGCCCTTTACTGAGCCGACTGGGTGCATCTCTTCACTCATTGCAGTGGTGGTGGTTTTCATATGTACTACGGCCTTTTGATCCTCTCGAGCCTCCTGATTCGTCATCACGGCCTCGAGGACAAGAGTACAAGAGACAGCGGCGCACCGCCGAGCCAGAAGGAAAAGGACAGTTGCTCGTACGCATTTGCGGAGCATTGTGTCAGGAGCAGCTGGACCGACGACCTTCACGAGACAGGCCATTCAGTGCCTGCGTTCACATCATTCCAACAGTACGTTGCCAGACAAGGTTGCGGCGATGATGCAGCAATCCCAGAAAGTGAACAAAGCTCCGGCGTGGCGTTGCCCAGTTTGCAACATGCATGTGAAAGGCTCTGCGGCCTTTTGCCCCCAATGTGGGCAACACTGGAGAGATTTAGGCGCAACATACTTGGCGGCGCAGCCAGCTGCTACAGAGGCTTGGGGGGGCTGGCAATGGTCCACCAGAGAAGCAGCTTCACCTCGGCGCCGTCGCCCGAAATCTCCCAGGCAAAAGCAGCCCAAGGAGCATCCCAGAGGTGGGGAGGGTACGCAGTTGCCTGTTCCACCTCCTGTGCCGGCCTCTTTCCCGTCACACAAGGGGCAAGGGAAAGGCCAAGGCAAAAGCAAGCCACCGCAGCCTCCAGTACCTGCGGCCCCCAAGTTGCCCGCAGACGATTCGATGGCAGACATGATGGCGCTACTTGTGGCTCGAAAGGAGGAGCTACCGAGCGACATCCAGGCCTTGCTGCAGAAAAAGACGCAGCAAAGTGCCTCAGCCAATGCCAAAGACCTACATCGTTGTATCTCAGCCCAAAGCAATGCAGCGAAAGCGCTCTCCCAATTGCAAGAGGACAGGGAAACCTACTTGCTTGGCTGGCAAAAGTATATTCATGGTTTGGCGTCCACGGTGGAAGCTCAGTTGACGGAAAAGGAGCAAGTGATGCTCAACTACCAAGCTGCAGAAGAGTCGCTCCAAGAAACCATAGAGCAGGCCAGAGAAGACATGCTTCGTTTGGCTGGTGGAGAAGGCAGCAAGTCTTCGGAAGCGACGCTGATGGAGACAGACGGGCTCCCAGGGCCCGCTTTGGAAGACCAGGCAGCCATCAAAGCAGCAGAACTCCGTCAAAAGGAGCAAGCGCTCCTGCAATCCTTGAAAGTGGTCAAGGACGACGCGGACCAGGCAGCTACCAGGAAGAGGAAGGAGCTGTCTCGCACACCTCGCAGAAGCAAGCAGCGAGATGGCATTTCAGTGAGCTCAGGAGAGGAGGAAGCGAAAGAAGCTGGCTCCTTGCTCTCGCAGCCCGCGCGGCCTTTTCCGCAGGCTCAATCGTGAGCCGACCGGTCACGGTTGAGCCTAGTCCACTCGATTCAGACAGAAGTAGACTGCCAGCAGTATTGGAATGCCAGGCCATTGGCTCTACATGCGCAATACATGCTGGAAGCTTGGAGTGTCGATCAGTATGTCGTCGAGATGGACAGTCGAGTCTCAAAGCATGCAGTGAAGACCCGCTCCCCTGTTGACATCGCTTATGCCAGGGTTGCACAGAGAGGTCTAGCCGGCTATCTTCAAGAAAAAGAGTTTGCCGGACTTTGTCGCAGCGTTCAGGATGCGGAGCTCACCTCGTGCCTGGAACGCCGTCGCACTATGCCAGGCACGGTTCACTTTGCCGACCTGGGCACCATCAACCGGATCTCCTGCGAGAAGCCTTCCGATGCCAATGGACAGCACAGTGGCTCTGAGCGGGAGATATCAGGTTCTTTTGCCCCGTATGTGTCTGAGGGACCAGCGTGCAGGGATGGTGGACAGTGGGACATCAATGTTGGAAAAAGCCTTGGAGAGGCTAGAGTACCTTTGGATGTTCCCACTGTCGGCCCGAGCCCTTCCCATGCTTGTCTGTCCGGCACTACGGTTGTACATATGTACAGTTGTACAGAGCATGGCGATCAGTCGCTCCCTACACCTCGGCTTGAAGCCGGTTCCCTGTCAAACCTCACCGAGCATGTCTTCATTCCAGCGCCTTTGTTGCCGGTGACACCAGACCTTCCGCTTGATGAGAAGCAAGGCTCTCAAGCGCAGCAAGGAGCGGCCCATCCAGCACTTGAAGGTTCTGAGGTTCGGGCTTTGGTTGCGTGTTTTCAGGGACTTGAGGGTTTGAACCATCCTGCAACTCAGCCTCTCTCCTCTGCAACACAAGGCGGTTCCCTGTCGACCCTTGCCGCAGAGGCTCATGCGCCTTCAGGATCCGAAGGCTGTTTCCCGCACAGACCTTGGCCATCTCTACGTGTGTCACTCTCAGCAGCAATTGAGTGCCCCCCAGAAAGGCAATCCTGCTTTGTTGGTCTGGCTAAGGCAGCCCGTGCCCTTGATGAAGTGTTGGCAGGATGTTTTCCCCTGCGTCTCCGTCCACTCCCTGCTCTTGACAGAGCGCCTTCCCATGTGCGCGCAGCCGTGGCTCCTTGCCATAGGCCCATTCCGGATTTGCGCCAGCTGCCTATAGGCTCTGAGCTTCACTTGTTCTCTGACGGCTCCAGAAGCACAGCTGGCTCTGGTTGGGCGGTTGTAGTCACCTCTTGGGTTCCTGATAGGGGTTGGGGTATTGAAGGGTGTTTGTTTGCACGCACAGCTCAAGGGATCTTTGGCGAGACTGTGCACGATTCCTGCGAAGCTGAAGCTTCGGCAGTCTCTGCTGCCTTGGTTTGGGCCCTTGCTGCTCCTCCTGCTGCCAGTGTCTTTTTGCATTATGACAATGAAGCTGCGGGTCAAGCCGCAACAGGCACCTGGGCCGTGCCTTTGCATCGGGGGGCCCCTCGCACAGTTCATGCTTCAGCTAGGTCCCTTATGCATCTGCATAGAGCCTTGGGTAAAAGTCTCCAGCTTTCTCATGTGCAGGGCCACTCGGGGCACGCTTGGAATGATGCGGCTGATTTCATTGCCAAAGCTGCGCTCCATGACGACCAGGGTCAAACATGCATTGATAGTCTTTCCTCTTTGCTTCAGCCAAAGCTGCTTCCATGGCTCTGGACCCTGCCAGTCAGCGCAGGAGATCTGCCTACCGCCTGGGACTTGGTTGCAGGCACCGGTCTCGTTAATGTCTCTGCTACGCAGCGCAGTGACTGCGCTTTTCCAACAGGCAAGTCTCACTATTCCAAGCCCGTTGCTGGCAAGCTGTCCTTTCTCTCCTTCAACGTGTGCTCCTTGCGAGATCCGGGCTCAACTAGGAAAGAAGCAGGGATGTACATTCCGGCCCTCCAGGAACTTTTGGCCAAGCAGCTGCTTCATGATGACTTTGGCCTTGTCGCTCTCCAGGAGACCAGACTCCCTTCCAGCAGTTCATACACCTCTGGTGCCTTCTACGTTATTAATTCAGCCTGTGACGAACAAGGCCAAGGGGGATGCGCGCTGTGGTTTCGGGTTGATGAACCACTGTTGGGTTCTGGCAAGCCAGTCACACCGTCGCAGGTCACGCTCCTTTTTTCTTCTCCGAGACTGCTGGTGTGCCGCCTCACAATGCAAGGTGCCACCTTCCTGTGTGTCTGTGCTCACGCGCCGCACAGCAAGCGACCGGAAAAGGAGAGGCTGGATTGGTGGGATCTCTTTGTGAAGGTTCTAGGGAAGGTTTGCAAATCTGGCGACATTCTTCTCATAGCTGCGGACGCAAATGCCCGCCTGGGCGCTAGCCACACGGGTGTTTCGGGTTCTTTTGGAGCTGAGCCCCTGAATGCAAATGGAGAAGCATGGTTAGAGCTCCTTGAGCAGTTTGGTATGTGCTTACCTGCAACGTTTAGTCACACTGGCCCCTCTGCCACATGGCGCTCACCACAAGGTTTTGAGGCTCGCCTTGACTACATTGCCATTCCACAGGCTTTGTCCGCCTCCGTTGAGGAATCCGCCACATTGCTCCAGTACGATGCCTTGACCAATCAGGATGATCACAGAGCTGTCTCCTGTCGCCTTCGTCTGCAGCTTCCCGGGAAAGCAACTCACCGCCCAAAAAGTGTTCGCTGGCAGCTGCCGGAAGAATGGGCGGAGCCCTGGAGTGCTTCTGTTGCATGTATGACCAGGCCTCGATGGGACCTGTCAACTGATCAGCATGCCAGCGCCCTTCGTCAGGGTCTGCAAGACCGCATGGCGCATTTTCACTACCAGGCGCCGCCTACTCCCAGGCGGCCCTACGTCACGCCAGAAATCCTTGACCTCCTAAAGGAGCGGAATGCTCTGAGGAAACGTCTGCGCGAGCTCCGCTCAGGAGGAGACAATGTGGAGCAGTCGCCCCTACTTGCGCAGTTCAGGACCTTAGCACGGGCTTTGCGCCGTAAGCTCAAGGCAGCGAAGGTCAGCTACCTCACTTCCCTTGCTGTTGAATTTGAGCACAAGGCTTCCTTTCGAGACTCCAAGGCCCTCTATAGGGCGCTGCAGCCGCTCAGGGCGGGTCCAGGGGCTCCCTCGAGAGTTCGGCCTGCCACCCAGGTCCTTACGAAAGATGGTCTTCCCTGCGCTGACGCTGGTGAGATAGCAGATCTTTGGTCCTTTCACTTCGCCCGGTCAGAGGGAGGGAAAGTCTGCACCGCCGCTGAACTTGTGAGCGACCATGTTTCCAGCCTGCAGCCCCTGGCCCAGTCAGCTGCTCTTGACTTCCTTCCCACACTTACGGAGTGGGAAGGGTTACTTCGTGCCCTTCCTAGAGGGAAAGCTCCGGGCCCGGATGGCTTATCCTCCTCACATGTTCGTGCTGCCACCGCGGCTATGGCTCGGCTGACTTATGGTCTCACGCTCAAGGTTGCTTGTGGCGCTCCCGAGCCCCTAGCCTGGCGAGGTGGGAAGGCCCTCCCCCTTTTCAAAGGAAAGGGGCAAGGCACAAAACCCGGCGAGTATCGAAGCATTTTGGTCTCGGAGGTGTTGGGGAAACGTTGGCACGCATGGCTTCGCAGCTCTTTACTTGCTACTTTTCGTGAGAGGGCTGCTCCCCTCCAGTGCGGCGTTACTGGTGGTCATTCCACCGGGCTCCTCTCTCTCTTTCTCCGTAGCTTCCAGGCCCAGGCTCAATCTCGGGGTTTTTCTTGGGGCATCCTTTTTGTTGACCTGCGTTCTGCCTTTTACTCGGTCCTGAGGCAGTTTGTCACTGGGGCAGACTGCTCTCTTGATTCCTTCCAAGCTCTCTGTGGCAGGCTTGGAATTGGCGTTGAACAGTTTGAGGCGATCGTAGCCGCCCTAGGTGCAGTTGATGCCAAGGTTCTGGACTCTCTGCAGCCTGTCCTGGGAGCCCGTGTGAAGGATGTGCTCCAATCTACGTGGTTTCAGGTCCAAGGTTCAGAAAAGGTCGTGGCCACTCAAGCAGGCTCCAGGCCAGGTGATCCCCTAGCGGATATCCTTTTCGGGTTGTCCGTTGCCGGTGCCGTGAAGCAGTTGAACGAGACCATGCGTGATGCTGGCTTGTTACCGTCTTTCAATACTGCCGGAGTTTTGCCAGGGGTTGAGCCGGGCACATCTTGGTTAGAGGCTTCCTGCATGTGGCATGATGACCTAGCCGTCCCGTTTGTGGTTGACACCCCTGCTGCCCTGCAAGGCGCGATAGCTTTCGTGGCGCGTCTGGCCCATGACACCTTTGCCTCCAGAGGACTGAGCGTCAACTACGACAACGGCAAGACAGAATGTGTTTGTCGCGCTGTTGGAAAAGGATCCAGAGTTGTCACGCTCGCCTTGAAGGATAAGCCGAACCCCACGGTGTCCTTTCTGCCGGATATCGGCACCATGCAGCAAGTCAAGATTGTGCCAGAGTACTGTCACTTGGGTTCGCTAGTTGCAGAAGATTGTTCCCTACTTCCTGACATCAGGCGCAGGCTGCTTCTGGCGGCGGCTTCTGCTAAGCCGCTAGCCAAATCGGTCTTCTCAAATCCCAATGTCCCCCTAGCAGTGCGTCGGGTTCTCTTCCGCGGTCTTGTCCTTGGCCGTGCCCTTCACGGAGTCGGTGCGTGGGCCGGCCTGCAGGTGCAAGAAATGAGGGCCTGGCACGCAGGGATCATGCGGCTTTATCGCCTGTTGCTTCCTGTCAAAAACACTGCATCGGACCCCTGGCTCTCGGATGTCGAGGTGTGTAAGCAATGCGGGTTGCCTCCTCCCTGCAGGCTTCTGTCGCTGGAACGTCTTCGCCTTTTTGGCCAGTTGCATCGCACGACCTCGGGGCCCATTGCCGCAGCTATCGAAGCAGTCGCGGGCGAGCCCCGTTGCTGGCTGTCAGACGTTCTTGACGACTACTCATGGCTGTGCTCCCTTCGGTTGGCTCCCACCTCTGTCCTGCCTAAGCCTCTGCCACAGGAGGTCTGTGCATTTGTGAACCAAAACGCCACTGTTTTGAATAGATGCCTTTCGAAGGCAGGTTCTCGGGCAGCTGAGGCGCCGCAGCCTTCAGATCTGCCGCCCGCCAGGCAGGAGTCCCAATCGATCACTTGCTTCTTGTGCCAACAAACCTGCAAAGGCCGGCAGGGTCTTGCGGCCCATTTAGCCCTTTCGCACCACATTCAGGCCAGGGCAGGCTGGTACGCTGTGGGCTCGTCTTGTCAAGCATGTGGCCTCAATTTCCGCACTCGCACTAGGCTTTTGAGGCATTGGCGCAAAGGCAAGCCAGCTTGCATGAAGTGGGTCTCGCAACACTGCGAAGCCGTTAGCGACACGGCCCGAGCGGAGCTCGACCGTGCGGAGAGCTTGCGTCTGCGACGCACAAAGGGGAGAGGCCCGGAGGACTCTCTCCCAATTTTTGCTGAGGTGGGTCCCCCACCGATCGTTCTGGGGGCGCGAGAGACTCCGCGTGTCTTCCTAGACGATGTCATGTGACTTCTTAATTAATTTCATTCAGGACCGGCAGCGCCTTGGACGCTTCTAGTTCGGCGAGAGAGAAACCCTAAACCCTAAACCCTAAACCCTAAACCCTAAACCCTAAGCCCTAAACCCTGTGCAAAGGTCTTCACCATGGAGAGACTCCGGGAGATTACGACTGAGCGCCTGCGCATGATGCAGGAGGTGCGCAGTCGGAAGCGGATTCCATGGTGGCATACATCTGTCGTTTAGGGTTTAGGGTTTAGGGTTTAGGGGTCTTCACTTCACGAGAAGACAGGGTGAAGTATGACGGGCCAGTCACACTTGCAACCATATATGACAGTTATACCACACCCGGCCGAAGCCACGTCGTTCATCCCGCCAACCTCCTGCCATGGCTCAGTAGTCAGACGATCTTTGCAGGGTGCTCCCCTGGGGTCCCTGGCTCCGTGGGCCTATCGCGGCCTGTCACCGGAGGAGCCTCTGAGCTGGCAAAGAGTAGCTGACAGGCGCTTCCGTCAGTGAGATGAATTACGATGAGAACTTGTGACTTCTGCTGTTGGCCCTTACTGTGGTCTCTCATCCTGATGTCGTGCTGAAGTTTGAGGTAGGAAGCTTGCAATGTTGGTTTGCGCCCATTGCAGTTTCGTAGGCATCTGTCCGGCATCCGAGGCTTCTGACGGTTCGGACCGTCTGGAGGGTCTCGCGGCTTTTGGAGGGACTATTCGTTCGCCATGCTCGGACTACTGCTATGCACGCAGTTAGAAGCTTGTTGATCTGGTTTTCATGCACGATGCATCAGAGCAGCGTCAGAGATCTTAGGTGAGCCGCGAGTCCGAGCTCTGTGCTGATTTCGATTGCTGCGCCATTTGCCTTGATGGAAGAAGCGACGACAACTGCAACGTGTCTGAACAGACAGGGGTCTGGGCTGCCTTGCGACGTGATGCGAAACCCACCTCAAAGCACCAACTCAAGATGACCAGACTTCCATGCCTGCACATTCTAGCTTTTATGTCTACGGTTCAGGGTTCAGAGCTCACAGCTTGAGGCTTGGGCGGTGTGAGTTATCGAATGTAGGTTGCTGTTCAGGTCGAGCAGTATTCAAGACTCGACCAATACCTGCAAGGGTGGTGTGCTGAGGGTCTTTAGCCTTGCCATGAATCAGGAAGCATCATGATGCCACGCGGAGAGTCACAACATGAACTCCACTACGACCCGAGCGGAGCTGCGCCATCGCGCAGAAAGTCTGTCGAAACCTCAATGAAGTGGGCCGTGCACCCGAGGCGAGTTGATTGCCCTGCCGTGCGAGCATGTGTTCTGTGCAGAGCCTCGGCTACATTAGGTCCGTGCTGGCCGTCTTCGTAGAAAAAACCTGGAGCCATTAAACCAGCAGATCCACAGCAGTGCTTATACTCCAGCCGTCGTCCCAGAGTCAGAGCGCTCCAATGCAGTTGTGTGTCTTGACGCTTGATCCCGCCTACACCAAAGGATTGTGTTTGCACATGGCTGGCCCGTAATGCAACATGCGCCAACTGGGCTGCATTTATCAGCTTTGGACAACAAGCGAGGCTGTTTTGGAGGACGTTCTGGTATACAGCATACGCCTGGTTTCACCTAGACCCACCAACTGTGCCGAATAAACTCTGAACCCTAAACCCTAAACCCTAAAAAGCCCTGAGCACGACACCAGGTCCTGTGCAAGAAAGACATGCGACCCGCCGTGGCCAAGCCCGGATCTCAGATGGAGACTGTAACGGGCAAACTTTGGTGATGCACTCCGTGTCTCGGGTTTAGGGTTTAGGGTGAAAGAAGTAGTGCAACAAGTCTTAGTCACATGTAAAGGCACAAAGAGCATGTTTCATTCGTCTCTTGGCCGCCGATCTGCAAACGACGCCAGAAATGTGCGAAGTTTGGGCGGTGCCGAACGGAACTTTGCCCTTTTATGAATGTGGAGTTGGAAGAATCCACCCCCAAACCCCCCCCCCCCTCCACAGGTCTAGGGATGTCTGGGGTCTCTGAGATGGTTTAGAGTTGAGGGTTGAGGGTTTAGGGTTCATGAAGGCTGCACTCTAGATCTGGAGTGAAAGTTCGGGGCTGGCACCCGGTTCAGAGCCTCCCACCAAAATGGAACGTTTCGCCGCGACAGTTTTTTGAGTGCGCTGGCACTCTTCCGAAGTTTTCCTGTTGGGGTTACTACCGTATGGGTTACTCAGTGCCGTACTCCAGTCTTCTATTGCATCAAGGTGGTCTTCCTGCGGGTTTCAGACTGCGTTGGTGCCAGTCCCTGCAAGGTTACGACGGTGGCACAGAACACCTGACACCGACGATGGCGCTAACGCATAGCTCGGCAGCTCGGGTGCTTTGGCAAGGTGCGCGATGCCAGTCGCTGGCCGCGAGTTCGTTGTTTAGATTGCTGTAGGGGTCTTAGTCAGAGCATTGCTGGAACCAGTGAACCCTATGCACATTTCGCCGATTTCGCAGGGTGCGGGTCTGAGGTCAGAGCCCAGGCAGATCAAGCGCTGATGCGTCGTGCGAACGTGTACGTTAATCCGAAGGAAGCCTGTTCAATGTGAAGAAGCTTGGACGGGCAAATGCCGAATGAATGAATGTTACATAGAGCTGCAGGTCGGAACAGCCATGTGAGAAGCTATTGTACATCGAGGTCAGGTTTCTGGAGTCTAATCAATTTATGGTTCGCTCGGCGGTTGAAACTAGAAGCAGGTCACCTGTCTCCATCCCTACGGTAGCTAGTTCAATCTAAGTAGAAAGCGAATCTCGAACAGATGGACCAACCGGGTCAGTTCCGACCCTCGACAGGTTTAAATTCGTTCGGGCCCTCCCTTTCGGTGACACACTTTCTCTTGCGAGTATCTTTAGAAATCAAATCCTCGATTCTCATGCTTCGACGTATTTGCAGTGACGGTTACAAGTCTGTGTATGTTCGGCTCTTCCGTTTCAGTCTCCGTGGAGGGCCGAAAGCACGAAGTCTCACTCAGACGCTTCCGTTTGAGGTTTGAGGGGCACCTTCCCAACACTTCAACAGTGCCTGCCGACTCTGAGCCGGAGCAATCGCATGTCATCGAATGGGAGATAGCCAGATAAACGCCACGCCACAGTCGGATGCAGTGCAGACGTCGGCAGATGAAGTGGCCCTCCATGAAGCAGATCCAGCTAACCAGCTGCACTCACATCTACGTGAGAGTGGAGTACTGAAGTTGAGCTTCGGTTTCAAAGCTGCAGCTGTAGGACGAGCCATTCTTCCCCTCAATGACTCACAGAGTTCTGTCATGTAGACCCTGTGCCAGCGAGCAAGTGTGGCCTTTGCAGTGGCCAGGACTTCGCAGCCGCCGAGTGCCATGAAGAGCAGCTCAGGTTGGCGGCTGGAGAGAAGTCTGGCTGTCTTATGCTGTCTTTGTCAGTCACTGTAGGGAACCAGGTGACCGAAGCTTCAGTCCTCTTTGTTGAGCATTGTTGGCGTGATGGGATGAACCTTCCGTTCTGTCGACTTGCAGCAAGGGGCTAGCTGCTCTTGCCTCTTGCCAGAATCTGCAATCTACAGAAGCATAGCAGTCAACATTTAGGCAGATGATCCGTGACCTCCGACAAGAACTCCGCCTCAGCAGTAAGGCCAGCAGAGAAGCCGCTTCTTGCTTGAGGGGATAGTTGGGCAGCTGGCCGTTCTCTTGGCAATCATGCGGCTTTCGTCTTTCTGAGTGCGCCCACTTTGAGCGACTTTGGGCAGGGTGTCTGGGGGAGATAATTCTAAGCGCTTACGAGAGCTCTGCTTCGGCAGCCGGGCCAGCGGGACGTGCACGTCGCCGGTCCAAACGGCGTGCCTCGGAGTTTCCAGTTCGCAGATACGAAAAGCAACCGCAGGTCGAGGAAAAAGGTGCCCGAGAGCAGCCGGCCCGTAAGCCCGAAACCTTGAGCCCGCGGCAGAAGTGAGCTTGGTTGACGTATGCGAACAGTGGGAGCAGGCTCTGCAAAACTTTTTGTGCACTGGCAATGGCAGGGCTCGTGTGCTTGTTGCCAAGTGAAGCTTGAGCAGGATGTTCGTGGGCTTGCTGCCAAGTGAAGCAAAGAAGTCAAGTAAGGGAGTGCTGGGTCCGGGGTCTGCAGGGAGTCCCCCCTGCAATCTCTCAGAGCTTCCACACCCAAATGGAGGGGAAGGGAAGAAGACCAGCTCCTGGTGTGCTTCTTCGGCATGTCTGCCGGCCGGAGGCCGAGGCGAACTAGGACCCGTTCGCTTATGTTCACATTAGGAACGCCCGATCGTAGTTGAATCTCAAGACGACAGCAATCTGGGGCTGTGATCCTCAAGGCGGTCGCCACTTCAGAGCATCAGGCCATTGTCGTGCGTGCAGGTGAAAGCCTTTTCTCTCGGCCGAGTGTCGGGGCCGAGACCCTCCACAACTCTTTTCAATCAAATGCTTCGTGCTGGTCGTGTTTGGACGACGCTTTGTGATTTCGCAAGTGTTCGCATTCGAGCTCACGACGCCGCCATGATCATTCTCACAACAGCCCAGCTTTGTTGAGCTTGCCACGGTGAGGGCATGTGTGGGTGCAGGTTGCCACATCGGAGTATGCCCAGGCAAGCGTCTTTGTGTTTTTAGTTGCTGAGCCAGGACCATGTTTATCGCGGGGCTTGTAGCATCTTGTAGCTCAAGTGCTACCGTAGGCTGATGCTTGCTTGCTAATGGTATAAGCTGATTAAAGGAGCTAAAAAGGCAAGACCACAACATGCCAGAGTTCAAAACACTACAGTAAATACAGTGCCCCTTTTGAATCCAGGCCCTGAGCCGGGACATGCTACTTGGGTCACCTTCTCCTTTGCGACGACCTGGGGAGAGACGCCGTGTCTAAGGTGCCCAAGACTGGCCAGTTCGAATCTGTTAGAATCTGAAGTTAATCTGAAGTCACTGAAGTCGCAGTTGCCGTGGCAGTTGTCCGGCAAGAGGTGAAAAGTTGAGAGGACTTCGTCTGGGTGACGGGAGGAGTGTTGCGTGGAAAGTATTGTTCAGCCTGTTCTTTGATTCCGCGAAGGAAGATTGAGGGGTTAGACAGGGCTTGCGTAGAAGCAGTGAAGGCTGGAGCAGAGTCGGTGCAGCGATTTTTACGAGTGGCATCCTAATAAACCCCCTGAACCACGCATTGCTTATGACCTTTTTGCCCTCGTGCCGGGTGTGTGGGGCCAGGTTTGACAGCTTAATTGTCGGCCCGGTGAGGACGTGGCTTCGGCTAAAGTAGTTCGTATTTTGCTCTGCGGATGCAGCCCAGTGGAATTGAGAGTGTTGATGCTTTTGCCGTGGGCTGAGCTCATCTGAAGCAGGGCTTGAGTTGCAGTAGCTCGAATGTTCGGCAGCCTGGCAACTGGACAGGACAAGGTTATTTACTAGAAGTGCCTGCACAGCAAATGCACTCTCACTTCCTGCATTCACAAATTCAATCTCGCTTCTTGCGAGGGAATAATCACAGCGCATGCTGCACGACTTATGACTGAAAGCGGGATCCAATACAGACAGCGGCATCTGCATCACCGATCAGAGCTGACAGGACCATGAGGGCGATTGTACCGATGAATCCTGCTTCAGGTTGGAACAGCCAGTCGAGAGACAAGGTTGTTGCATGCAGGGCCCGCTGAAATGCTATTCAGGTGATGTATGGCCTTTGAACTGTTCGGATACTGTTAACATGTGGTGTTTATCAGCGAGATGCAGAATTCCACAGCGCTCCTTCAACAAAGTATGTATAGGTATCTGCTGTCCGGCGCAGAAAAAAGTCGACCTTCCTTGGCGACCGGGCTTTGGGGTCATTGCTTGAGCTTGCGCGTGTCATGTGACGACATCCTTCGGCATATGGCTCAATTTGCCACGGGATTCGAAGTATTTTGAAGTAGGGAGGGGGAGCTCCGCTCAATTCAGTTTAACTGGTGTCGAGGCCGCCGTGCTGCAGTTGAGATGACGACTTGGTCTAAGTCGCCATGTCTTTAATGCCAAAGCCCCTATCCTTGTAGACTCTTGACGCCCTGCTCCACAGAGATGAACCATGATGAATCACTGAAACCCATGCTGCCAGGCCATGGCTGATAAAGCCAAAGCGGCCGAGGCCAAGGCCAAGGGCAACGTGGAGTTCCAGGCAGGGCTCGACATTCCAGCTCAGGCGATCTTTGACCCCCCCCCCCCCCCTTCCCGGAAGCTGTTCTCAAAGGCCAAAAACTTCAAGGAGGCCATCAAGCACTTCACCGAGGCTGCGGGTCACTCTCCGTGACCTGTTTTCGAACGACATGTTTGGGTGTTTCTGGAAGCCTAAACATGCTGACGCTGCACTGCCAGCCATGTTGAGCTCAAATCATCACAGAGCGGCGGTGGCTACCAACCTTGCTGGCTCATTTCGCCAAAATGGCTCTGAAGAGTTCCTCCTGCAGCGAGAAGTGTGCTAGCTATCAGAGCAGCCTCCCTTGCAAGAAGAAACGCGACGATGATCTGAACAGCAGAGAGTATGACATTGCCTATGACAACTATTTTGCAGAAGAAACACGACGATGATGAGAACACTGGAGATGGCGACAGTGCCTATGATAACTGTTGTGAACAGTCGTGCCGCTCATGTAATGTTAGACCCGCTTTAGTAGGGGCCTCCCCTTTAAAGTCAATTTGGCCAAATTATTCAGGACCCCCTGACTGTTTGCGGGGTCTCCTTTAAAGTCAAACCGTCCGGGCGCCGTAAGAAAATTCCACGTGGCGCGCCTTTAAAAAAGATAACCGGGCATCGCTGCCCCTTTTAAGCCTATCTAAACTCCTCCCTATTGAAATCATATAAGCCCCCGGGGCCGTGTAATCAGGCTCCCATCCACGCCTCAACTGTTCGGGGGGGGGGGGGGGGCCAACACACTAAAGAGGGTCCAACATTAAGCAACAGGTTGATTTTCAAGATCACGACGAAAACTGGCCCCCGACAAGCGTTGGTTTACAATAGGTTTTTTTTTTTTTGTTTTTTTTTTTGGGGGGGGGGTGTCTTAGTCGGTTTTGTTAGGGAGGATATTCTTGTCCACCAAAATCTGCAAATGAACACGCTCTTGTCCCACAAGAACTCACATAATTCAGAGAACTGCTACCCGTTTGTAGCAACATGTGCAAGGCAGGGTTGCGGTCCGACATTATACCGGACAAGCAGCTCGAAACCCCAATATCAAAGCACTGAACGCGGAAACGTCGCTGAGAGAGGCAAGCTGTTTTAGGGTGCCGAGCCTTCCTGCCCAGAACCTTCAAGGTCCTGGACAGGGAAGTTTTGATGACAGACATGGCATCACATTGCCGATCTCCAGACTCTTCCCAAGCATTCCAAATGCCAGCCAGCATGCAAACCAGATTCGTAGATTCGTTCGGGGTGTGAGGACAAACCTGTGCGTGTCTGGTACACAGTAACAAAAGCACGGCAGGATCTTGCGTCTCGCATCCCAAGCAGGTCGTAGAATTTCAAGCCTCCGGACTGCGATGCCACATGTCGGACATGATGCTGCAAATAGCTAGAAAGAGGTGGCGAAGGTCGGTGGTTGAGGCGATGCCCACTGCCATCTGACAGGCCATCAAGCATGACCCCAGCGATCACGTATTCTTCTCGAACAGGCCGGCGTGCAATCACTTAGCATGCTTGTCAATGTCATGCAAAAAGGCATGCTTTGCCTCATGACTCATGCTGGATGTTCTTTTCGGGTTGTCTGGCTCGAAGCCGCTGACATGCGACACGTTGACTCCGGTGTGAGGTCTGCATGCTATGCGTCCCTGGAAGACTATGACAAAGCTTTAGAGGCGGCCCTGCTCAGCCTGTCAAGCTTCGGAATGCTTCCATTGCCTTAGCTTCAGCTTTTCTGTTGTTTCCTGGGTGGATAGTTCAGGAAGGTGAGTGCAAGCCTGGTCTTTGGCTGGCAGGATGGAACCGAGTGTGTGCGGCTAAAGCCGGACTGGCCCAAGGGATATACGCGAAAGGCGGGCAGAGAATCCCCTGCTATCATGCGGCAAAGAGCGGCTGCAAGACTTAAACGAAGCGAGCGGCCAGGGACTCGCGGAGTTCTTCCTGAAAAAGTATGATGATGCTGCTGAAACATACAAGGCGCATTGGCATTGGTGCTTTTGGACACATTGGCAAGCCGACATAGAGTATAGATTCTGTAGATCTCAGACCCTTGGCAGTGGGAAGTTTTCTATAGGTTGCCCATGACATGTGCAGTAGGCTGGCCTCAAGCTTGCGCCGGAAGATGCGACGCTGAAGGAGGGCTTGAAGAAGGCTGCGCCGAATCTTGCATTGCGTACGACCTCTAGGAATCGAGGTCTGAGGTATTCTGAGGTGGTTTCTGTGTGTGGATCGAGTACCGGCTTGCGGCGACCTGTCCAGCAATGCAACTCAGACGATGTCGAGGACTTCCCTTTAGAATCTATTGTGACTGGGGCAGGCCAGGCAAAGGGCCGAGAGATGCCGAGAGTTTTGTGCATCTGCGCAGGCCATGGACGCCAAGTACGACGTCCCTGGCGCAGGCAGGCCTTTGGCAGCACATCATCAGCGCAGCGCTCTCATCAGGAAGCCTGAAGTTTCTGACAACGCCACATTCTGCTGCGGATGTCGGCTCAAGTCCAGCCCAGCCCTGCTCAGTTTATCGCCACTCAGCCCGAGCAGGATGGATCGGAGGGCTAATGCACCCGGGCCGTTGCACCCAAAGTAGTCGCTTTGCTTGGGATGTTCGGCTCCAATGGCAGGAGCTTCAGGAGTCATGCTGCGGTCTCTTCCAAGGCCACTCGTATTTCTGGGAGCGCAGGACGCGGGGCAGCAGGTTTGTGTCCATGGTGGTTGATTGAGTCGACCAGTTGAAGAAGCAGGGTGCTGTTCTCTTTGTGAAAGCTCTCAGCCCTAAACTTGCCCTAAACCCTAAACCCTAAACCCTATAAACCCTAAATCCTAAATCCTAAACCGGAGGCTTTTGTGCATCGGCTTAGCTGCGGCCCAGAACTGGCCTGGCTGTCAGGCGGGAGTTGGTGCACCAAAACCAAGCTATTTGGGGGTTTACGACAATAGGGGCACCCTCAATAGGGGTCCTTATTGCAAGGGGATTCTACTATTTGGGGGTCTATAATTAGGGGTCCCTTACTGTCGTAAACCCCCATGTGTGCGTCGACCGCATGGCATAGGAATGCTTTCAGCTGGGTTTGGGCATGGGCTGTGAAATCGGGCTCTGCCTGCTCTGCCTCCATCACCACCACAAATCATTGTGAGGATGCGACTGTTGACCTGCCCTTTCCTTGCCCCGGGAACAGCGTGCTGCATTTTAGCATGCGCAACGACCCTCGAAAGGTCCGCAGGGAGTTCAAGGAATAAGCGGGCTTCCATTGCTGCAAGAGTTTCTTCGCATGACAGGAGCAGAACACCGTCATTCGCAACGCAGGACAGGCGTTATTCACCAACCTGCAGGCGCCGGTCTGTCTCTCTCTCTCTCTCTCTCTCTCTCTCTCTCGTTTTCTTGTTAGTGCCTCTGCCTCTACATCTCTCTCTCTCTCCCGGTCCCGTTCCTCCCGCTCCTTGCCCCGCCCTTTTCTCCCCGTCTCTCCCTTTCTTTACCTCTCTCTCCCTGTCTCCCTCTCTCGCTCTGTCTCTCTCTCCCTCTCTTTCTCTCTCGCCCCTCTCCGTGGCTCTTCTGAGAAGCTTCGTCTTGTACGCAACTCGGATGGTTTAGTGGCCGAAAAATGAGCATTGACTCCGAGCATCCTCCTCCTTGTTGGGAGTTGTCTTGATGCCTTTGTGGCAACATTGCATGCTTCTGAGCTTGCGGCACAAGTTTCAGCAAACACCTGCGGAGCTTGTCTATGGCAGGGCTACGGAGCAACCATTGGCTGCTTCCTGGACGACTGCATGAGCTCCGACAAGCCAACTGGCTGGAACAGGGCCTTGCTTCGTTGCTCTTTTCTTGCATGGCAGTGCAGCATGCTCTCAGTCTCATGTGCTGGCAATACCATCCCTTCAGTGAGTCTGACACATACAAATACCTTCGGGCAATATGAAGTCCAAGCGGTACGTCCTGTGAACGAGGACGGGTAAATGCTGTCGAAAAGCACAGAAGCGCTTGCAGGTGTTCATAGCTCGGCTGGCTAGTCCTACACGTTGGCACGTCTTCGCAGTCAGGTTTGTGGCGAGCGAGATCGAGTCCTGTGCAAAGGCTCGGGCAATACCGCATTCTTGAGACGTACATATTAATATGCTGCTGCAACTGACACCTCTTTGCTTGTGACGGCAAGATACTTATGGGGACTGAGCTCTCACAGCAAGCCCGAACCATGAGAACCTCACCTGAAGCCTTAAGTAGCGGGCCGTTTCGTGGGTGATAAAATGGCGAGATTGAGGCTTCAAATTCTCCTAAACCCTACACCTAAACCCCAAACCTAGAAGATGTAGGCTTCCTTGTCGTGTTTCTTGCTTGCAGGTTTGCTTCTCGCTGCCAGAGTGCAAGTTCTGGGCCCGCGGACTCAAGATGCTGAAAGACTGGAATACCATACTCACCATACTAACACAAGAGCATAGAAATACAGAAATACAATAATGCAAAAACACAATGATACAATGATGCAAAAGTACAAAGTACGATAATACAATAATGCAGTAATACACTTCTACAATAGTACAATAGTACAATAATACAAAAGTACAACAATCCAATAATACAATAATGCAAGAATCCAATGACAATGACATAATACCATAATTCCATAGTACCAAAGTACCATAGTACTAGCGTATATATGTATATATACATATGTATGTCTATATACACACACATATAAACAATATAATTTTGATGTGCTACTAATGTCATAAAATAAAGCTCGTGGAAGTTCTTGTTGCTTCCAACGCCGCAGAGTCCTAGCCTTCCAAGGTCTGGGGCACTGAGGAAGGCGAGCAGAAGTGCTGGTTCCGGACAGACGAGGGGGGGTGCGTCATGAGTTGCATGGGTTAGGGTTGTGCGGTGTAGAGTTTGGGGTTTAGGTTTTAGTAAGGTTTAGGGTTTACGGTTCAGGGTATGACCTGCCACTTAAACGGCAGCCGCGGAAGATTTCATTGCAGTCTCAAAGCGAGGGCTCCGATCAGGAACACTTTTTTCCAGGAAGGGTACAAAACAAGGGTAGCTGGAAATGTCTTAGCAATATTTATAACGCAAATACTTACTGCTAATAAACTGTTTCCTCCGCAGTTTGCGTGGCTTGGGCTCCAAGAGCTGTGCCCAGTTGTTGGAAGGTTTACTGCCAGAATGTCCGCATGTACGACAAGTGCACTCATCGGGGGTAGGTGCCTGTAGGTGCAGCTGGTCGTTTTGACACGATTCATCCGACCTCTTGCACGTGAGCTCAATTTGGTCCAAAATCCCTTACTGGCAACATAACTCGCTCGGATTGTCAGCTGTGCATTGGGGCATCCGACGCCGGGTTCGCGCAGCCTCCCCAACCGAACCATTCTGCCTCTTGCGGCACGCCTGACTTGGGAATGGCTTTCCATCGGAATGCCAGAGATCAGCGCTTAAAACCGTTCAAAACGATGCAGGACTGGGGACGCCGGCCGAGAAGCTGGAGAGGGCTGGGTCTCGGGCTCCAAGGCCTGGGGGGAAGGGTGTTCAGGTCTCAAAGGACGGGGAGGGAGAAATGACCGGGATTTCTGCGTGTCTTGGCCAGGTCTTGGGGTGTTTGGGCAGGGCGCCTTCAATGTTTGGCAGATGCCGGGTAGAAGCATTCCGCCTACGAGTGTGGGCAGACGTTGCAGAGCCTGCTTTCCAGTAGATGCACGCTGTAGACATGTATTATCTCCGCCGTGCACCAGCGCCAGGCGTGTGCTCCGCCGGGCACAACCGCACACTCCTCAGGACAATGAGCTATGAAGGGGATACAGAGGATGGTAGTCTGTGTAGAAGCTTCAACTTCAGCAAGAGTCGGTGAGGTTTTGCCACTGGGCAATTCCGAGTGCTGGGCGGAGGGCTTTGGCTACGAGAATTGCCCCCGCCTCAGGGGCTATGTAGCCCAGCCCACAACTTTCAGTGCAGTTCCAGTTGCCAGGACCACCATACTTCCTGTAGAAGATCCTAAACCCTAAACCCTAAACCCTAAACCCTAACCCCTAAACCCTAAACCCGAAACCCTGAACCACCAAGAGGAACAAGCTGCTGAGGCTGCGAAGCGAAGTTTGGACCCAACGGCAACGCGCAGTGCTGGGTGCGCCCGGCAGTGTTGAGAAGAGCCGTGCCCATGCTGATCATGCGCACCTTCGCGACCCTTTAGGGATTGCTACTTGCGTAAGAGCCCCCAAACAAGCAAAAGACTATACTTCCTGTACTACCTTTCTCAAGAAGAATGTGTTGTTTTTTGGGGAGGGGCAAGTAGTATATCAGGGCCCATGGGGTTGCAGTCATTGACAATTCACTCGGAAAGTCTTGCATACGTGTATCCTGTGTTGAGCTGCATCTGCCTTTTCTGACCGTCGAGGATGGCGTCTACAACTATGACCGCTGCTGTTTCCCAAAAGAGGAACTCTGAGCAGGGACAAAAAAATTGGTTTGACCAGTGGCGCCCTTGCGGGCGCAACTTGCAGACACAAGCGAGGTTTGATGGCTCTGGGTCGAGATACGAACCCTAAACTCTAAACCCTAAACCCTAAACCCTATAAACCCTATCCCGAGACCCTAAACCCTAAACCCTAAAAGAAGCAGGCCTTCAGCTGCCATCCTCTACTCAGCAGGCAGTAGCAACATCGTGTGGTAGCAGGGACAGGTAAGAGACGGCGTAAGCTAGGCCTGCTATGTACACTCATGCAGATTCGACTCAGAGGCTTCGTTACTCATTCTCTGATGCCTGCGGATGCCTGTGGATCGGTGTCGGTGACAAGAGGTTCACTCCAGCAAATATTCGGATCCGTATCCACTCCTACATCCAAGGCATGTTATTGACAGCTTGATTGTCCAAACAGTCGACAAAGGAGGCCGAAGGAGCAGCCCCGACCTGTCGGAGTCTCCATCTGTGTGAAGGCATGAGTACTCTAACCCCAGACTGACAGCCTGAATATATATATATATATATATAATTTATAACAAAATATACATATACATAGACAAATACATATATATACATATATATATATATATAGATACTTATATTTATATTTATATTCATATTTATATTTATATTCATATTTGTATTGATACTTGTATTCATATTTTTCATTTATCTATATACACACATACATACACACGTACATACACATCAAGCCGGCAGCGGGCATTTAGTCGGTGCACGCCGCAGAACATCTACGAATGGCCCGTCACATGACATGAGGCAAGAGATGTTTCTCGCAGATGGCTTGTGCTTCATGCCCTGACTCTAGCATCAGGATCGCCCATGTGATGCTTTCGTCAAATCAGACTACAGTCATTCCAGCTTCTGGTCGGTCGGCGAATTGGCCGAACCAGATTGTGACATTCGTACATAGTCGGCATAATGTTGGGCTGGGTGCGTCCCCGAAAGGATGCTTGTACCGCGTTCTGGTGCTCGGCCAGTGCTTTGACCACGCCGCTGATTGTGTGGCTCGCGGCAGAGAGGATGTGAGGAACCAGTCTTGTGCTTGCGCGCAGCAAGAAAAAGCTTGTGGACCATGCCGGATACAGAGGTTGCAGTCGAAAACCCGTATCCTTTGCAGCCTTTGCAGCCCTCGCAGCCTTCACAGGTGCAGGCGGCGCAGGTGGCGGTGGCGGCCTGCAGTTCGACCCTGCTGTCGATGGCTCAGCAACGGGGAACTCTTTTGGCCTGGGGACAGGCTGCAAGTCGCAAGAGGCCTAGCGCTGCTGCTCCCTGTCAGCGAGTGCCTCTCAACTTCTGCAGATGACACAGGATTACGCATGTCATTGAACCCACACTTCCTGACATGAAAGCGGTATCGTGCAGTCTGCACCACCTGCGCACCCTGCACCATTGCAGCATCACACGGCTAGCAATAGCACAACAATGACCCATGGAGACAGTATGGTTACAGCATTGTGCAACTGCGCTCCATGGAGGCCCTTACAGCAGCCGCGATGAGAAATCCAAAGATCAAGGCCAGATGGACAGTTGATCGCAGTGGATGTTGCAACTGCACAATTCGGCACCCTGCAGTCGTTTTCACCACTTCCCGCGGTTTTATGGTTCTCAGTTCTCAGGAGTATATGCAGGACCAGGAGCTGATGCAGAAGGCGCATCGCATGTCTGCAGTCGAAGAGCGGGTGCGTTTGCGGATTATTTGAGAAACTCCCAGATGGCACTCAAAAACTGACTTCCATCTCAGCCGCAGATCTCTCAAGTCGCTAATTAGTGTCTTACCTTGCTCTGAGTCAGGGTGTGTGTGCGTGTGTGGGTTGTGGGGATGTATGGGACGGGCAGATGGAGATGAGAACAGCCCCCAAGCGAGCGCTGAGTTTCTGAACTTCTTCTCACCAGAACCCCTTCGGTTTCTCAGCCTTGACCATTTGATTGAAAGCTACGTACTCTGCAGTGTAAACCTCTGCTTTCGCTACCACGCCAACTCGCATGGACAAGCTTTTCTTCAGCGCAGCACGAAGTGCAGGAGGGGACAAGCTAAGATCACGTACGTAGACTCAGTAGGTCAGTAGCCCCGGAAACCCTAAACCCTAAACCCTAAGCCCTAAGCCCTAAGCCCTAAACCCTAAACCCTAAACAACCCTAAACCCTAAACCCTAAACCCTAAACCCTAAACCCTAAACCCTAAACCCAATCTTTCAGGAGCCCAGGCTCCACCTGAGCTCAGGTGCAGATGCTTGCCTCACTCCCAGGGCAAATGCAGCAGCAGATGATCATGCAGATGATGAACCAGGACATTAGGGTTTAGGGTTTAGGGTTTAGGGTTTAGGGTTTAGGGTTTAGGGTTTAGGGTACCGAGGCTGAAGTCAAGCTGTCCAAACGTGCTTCTCACAGAGCGCAGATCGACCGTGTCGGATCCTTTGACGGCCTGCCGCCAGGACAAAAGAGTACTAGAGCTCTTCATGGCCATGCAGGGTATCGACGTGAGCACCATGAGTGCCTCTGGCAAAATTTTTAGGGTTTAGGGTTTAGGGTTTGCCAAGGAGTAGGTTCATGGACCTTCAAGCCGCAACACCATCGGAGATTTCGGTACTTTCATGTTACAATGTTTCTTCATCAACAGATCACGATGCATCGCATGTCTTGTTTTCGTCTCTGGCTCGAACCCTCACTTTCGGATTTGCAGAACGAGGATGTACATATTGTGATGAAACTGGAAAGCTCTAAGCTGCCAGGTGGTGAGGACTTCGACAAGCCGGAGGAGCCGGACTCCCAGCTGGGGACAAATAGCCACGGCACGCGTGCCAATGCCATCGCCCCTGCATCCTAAACCCTGAACCCCTAAACCCCTAAACCCGTAAACCCCTAAACCCCTAAACCCCTAAACCCCTAAACCCCTAAACCCCTAAACCCCTAAACCCCTAAACCCCTAAACCCCTAAACCCCTAAACCCCAAATTTCTAAACCCCTAAACCCCTAAACCCCTAAACCCCTAAACCCCTAAACCCCTAAACCCCTAAAAACCCCTAAACCCCTAAACCCTAACCCTAACCCCCTAAACCCCTCAACCCCCAAACCCCTAAACCCCTAAACCCCTAAACCCCTAAACCCCTAAACCCCTAAACCCCTAAACCCCTAAGCCCCTAAGCCCCTCAGCCCCTAAAGCCCTAAACCCCTAAACCCTAAACCCTACACCCTAAACCCTAAACCCTACAAACCCTAAACCCTACAAACCCTAAGCCCTAAACCCTACAAACCCCAAAATAAGTCCATCAACGAGGTCGCGTCCTCCCCCCAAGAAGAAGGATGAGCCGAAGAAGGAGGAAGCTCCGCCAGAGGACTCTTCAAACATTCTTCCGCTTGGGCTCTATGATCCCTTATAAGCATCCCAAAACACCCTGAACTGAGGGTTTAGGGTTTAGGGTTTAGGGCTTAGGGTTTAAACACCCTGAACTGAGACATGTACAAGGGGACTAGATCCCTGACGTGTGCCGCGCATTGCTCTTCCGCGGCCTTCCACATATGAATTTATAGGGTTGTGCCCCGGCAGGCTCCTGAAACCCCCCATGCCCCCCCTTACCTGTGGTGTGTTTGGGGTGTTAGAGCTTTCGGGGTTTTGAGGTTTTCGGCCTTGCGGTTTTTCGGGTTTAAGGTTTTGGGGTTTAGGGTTGAAGGTTTTTGGTTTTAGGGTGAGGTCTTAGGGGTTGAAGGGTTTCAGGTTTTTAGGGCTTGGTTGAGGGTAACCATCAAACCATGTTGGCCTTTGGCCAGGACAACAGGACGCCCGAGCAAAAAGAGGCGGATGACTGGAAGGGCAAAGGCCGACCCTGTCTACATCCCCAAGCCGAAAACCCGCGTTGCTTCGTGCGCATCTGCCAAACCTGAAGCCCTGGACTTCTTTCCAGAGAGTTGGGCCCCTTATACCCCTCTTATCCCTCCCTTATACCCCCTTGTGCCCCCCCTTATACCCCCTTGTACCCCCCTTATACCCCCTTTATACCCCCCCTTATACCCGGCACAGCATGTTCTTGCAAGAAAGCAGCAGCCAGGCAATGAGCTGTACAAGAAGAAGCAGTTCAAGGAAGCCTTGGAGATGTACGACAAGGCCAGCTTAGACCCTGCTTCGCATTGCCCTTAAACCCTAAGCCCTAAGCCCTAAGCCGCAAACCCTAAACCCTAAACCTTATAAGCCCTAAACCCTAAACCCTAAACCCCAAACCCAGGGCCTCTTCCTTGCCAGTGCTGGGCAGGCCATCGCTCTTGTGCCGGACGACATCACGTACCACAACAACAGGATCTGGCTCGGCTTGGAACCAGGGAACCCGAAACCCAAAACCCCTCCCATTGGATTTAGGGTCTAGGGTCTAGGGTCTAGGGTCTAGGGTTTAGGGTTTAGGGTTTAGGGTTTAGGGTTCAGGGATGTTCAGGGTTTAGGGTTTAGGGTTTTGGGTTTTGGGGTCATTTCGAGGTATTTGACAGCTTCCAGTCTGTGGCTTTTAAGACGAGTGGCTCCCTGACTGATGCGTTTTGAGGCACCCATTCCCGCAGAACCCATGAGCCTGGGATGTTGTACCATGTTGAAGAGACAGCCCCGCAGTCCCTCGTGTACACGTGAGATGGTGCGAGGAATGCCGTCCTCATTGAGATGGGTCCAGAGCCTTGAGCCCAGGTGTTTTGATGCCCCGTCTCGCACGACAGACTCACAAAAGTGACTTTTGGGAAGACTGGCTGAGACGCGTTTGAGAGAATCGAAGCTAGTCCCGGTAGAGATTCATGCCTGCGGGGGGTGATTCGTAGCCTCATGCTCAGGCACTATGACCAGGTCCTCAAAAATTGCCAGGACCTGATTACCCGAAGATACGAGATCAACAGGCTTGGGCTGGGAGGGGGGGCTTCGCCGAAGCAGTTGCTCTGTGGTGCTGCCATGAACCATGGCACCTGAATGTAGAGCCGTCTGAAAGCCCCACAACCCCTTTGCATCCCGCCTCCACGCCTTGGCATGTTGACCTCACCCTGTGCAGTGCCAACCCTGGCGGTGCCTCCTTCGAGAAGGTGGCCAAGGCTGGGCTGAGGTACCCGAAAGGACCGAAAGGGGACGGGGATGCAAGGGCCCCAGGGCTGTGGCGGCTATGGAGTATGAATGGGGAGCATCGCATAAGGCATAGGGCGTCGTTGGTTCAAATGCTTCGACTGGAGTCTCAGGCTCGTGACATTGCCACCCCTGTGAATCTGGCAGTTGCAGGTGCTGACGCGGATGGCATCGGTTTACGAGAAGCAGGGCAAGTGCCCTCTCTCTCCAGCAAGCGGCTGCTGCAGCTACTTGAGACATCTGCAGTGCTTGAGATAAGCACGCCATCGAGGTACGATGAGGCGATCGAAATGTACGGCAAGGCACTTTTCCTTGTGCAGTTTGGCTGCATCTGCCTCTCGTGGCAGTCCGGCAGTATGCCTCTGAAATATTTCCAGCGTGAGGCAGGCGCGAGGCAGACTCTTCGCCACTCAGTAGCGCTCGTGTGCTGCAAGCCATTTTTACCAAGCATCTCTCTGCTCTGCATGCACAACGCAAGACTGCAGTCACCTGGAGCCCGGCGCAGGCCCTCACCGAGGACAACAATCGGACCACTCGCAACGCCATGCGGGACCGCACGCTTTGCAACGACCTGCGGCGATTTTCAACTTTCAAGCTGATGACCTGCGTGGCCCTAGCCTTATTCGACCATTACGTCCCTTGCAGGACTGTGAGAGGGCGAAGGAGAAACACGAGAAAGAAGCTTACCTCGATCCAGCGAAGGCTTGGTGAAACGTGATCAAAGGTACAGTATCTTCCCTGCGGGCCCAAGGAATATTTCCCTGCCACACCTTGTGACCCCAACTCTCATCAAGGCTTATTGGGGAACTCTCCCAACGTGGGGTTCAGAAGCCAAGAAAGCCACCCACAAATCCTATGAAATATTGTTCAAAGGATAAGGCACGTGAAAATTGAACTGCATCTTCAATTGATTTCGAAAGTGAGCGCACGGCCCATGACCATAGACAAGGCATGCAGGCCATGCAGGATGACAAGGGACTAAAGGTATATTGGGACTATATAAGGTGTGTAATATATAGGGGTTATATAGGGGAATAAGATTAGAGGTGCCTTCAGGGTAGACCCCCTTAAGAATAGCTCGGTACTCCCCTGTATCATGAGCAGGCCGAGGAGCACAGAGAAAAGGGCAACGAGTACTTCAAGGCTGGGTGCGCCAGGGAACTCCCAAATCTGTCGAGATCAGCATGATGGGACAATTTGGGTACCTGTACTATAGTTACTATAGTTACTGTAGTTACAAAAGTTACAAAAATAACGAGAGTGACTATAGTTACTATAGTTGCTCTAGCTACTCTAGTTACTATAGTTACTATAGGGTTCAGTAAAGTATTACGGCGTTATTTCGGTTTGGGGTGCCGTGCCTGCCGCTTGCCTGACTGGATGATGAGCATGCCGCTGGCATTCAAGGATATCTCCCGCGTGCAGCCCTGCAGAGATGGGGTTTACGATATTAGGGGTACCTTAAGGGGGTAGTTTTAATAAGCGGATCCTACTATTTGGGGGTCTATATTAGGGTAAACTCCCATGTATAACATCATATGAGACCAGCCTAGCGGAATTGCGAGAAGCTCGCCTGATGCATGGCAGTTGGGTAGACGGCTACGTGTTTCCTGTCTTTCATGTCAGCCAGGCTAAGATAGACGCGTGGCCGATGTAACGCGGCCTTCTTCAACTGCAGTCTGCAATTAAGTTTCACGACAAAAGTGCTCGAATGAGTCTATGCCATGGCCACTAATTGGATGCAGCAGCCGCCGCCGCCGGCGGAACAATACCTGTACACTCAGCAGCCTCAGCAGCCGCCGCAACCACTTGGCCCTGTCCAAGGGGCTCAAGGCTCTCAAGCGCATCAAGGCCGGCCTAACCCAGCAACTGACGCAGGGCCAAGCGAGCCAACGGCGCAACAGAATTGGCGTCGGCCTTGGGAGACTTCGCGTGACCGATCGAGCTTTGCCATCGGCTTCTCCACCTCTCTCGTCACTGACGTCTTTGTCGAACTCTCGCGGACCTTCATGCTGGCTCTACGCCTGGGCATGGTGGAGAACCCTCCGGCGTACAGCTCAGAAGCCACCATTCGTCCATCCGATCTGTACTTCCTGCATGCGATCATGCGAGGCTGTCACGATGTGCTGTTAAAGGTCATCGGCCTCTTATCCGCAGAGCAACGGGCACTCATGCAGCAGCTCATATGGCTTTCCACTGCACAAGTGATGGTGCTGCTGTTGATGGTCCATGTAGCCTTCGTTTGCCCTTATACACAGATTAATTCCTCCTTGAGGTTGTCGCGCCTTGTCGCGGAGGAAGGCGGATGGGAGTCCTTCCGGTGTCACAGCAGCATAGAGAACTTGACAAGTCATGCGATCAAGTCGCCAACTATCGTTCGCCTGGAATTGCTGGACACGTGGTGGGCGCGGCCACCTGCAGCCACTGATGTGGCTGCTGTGCAGCAGCTCTTTGACCACCGCACACTCATTGAGGACCCTGCTTTCACCAACTTGTCGCTTTCCAACGAGACAGGGCCGGGTTCAGGAAACTACACAGAGACTGGAAGCGACATTTTGGCAAACGTGCTGCGCCGCCTGTCTGCCCTCGTGTACTTTGGCTACGACGTGGCCTTTCCCAGGCCAACATATGAGGTGACAGTGGGGCCCACCGCACCATGGCTGGATGTAAAGTCGCCAGGATTCCGAGACTTGGGTGTCCGAACGAGGCCGGTGAGGATTTCTGTTGAGGACCCTGCATATTTCGGCATCTTCTTGGCCAGAAGTCTTCTGTCCAGCCTCGGGCTGCACGACATTTACATTTTGCATGCGCTTCCACGATACTTCCTGACAAACGCTGATGGTGCCATTTGTGGTACCAACTTCCGCCCTTCGCTACATGTTCGTACCGTTAGTTCTACGCACAGCATTTCCCTGGAGCCTGTCGAGTCCAGAATTGCCGGCCAGAAGGGCTGGTTCTTGTGGGCTGCTATCTCGAACTTGGTCAGCAGCTTACTATTCTTCAGTGTCGTTGCTATTGCCGCGGTCCTGTTCAGCGCGTTCTTACGAAGACTCTTGGTCCTTTCATGCCGCATGTACATTTACAACATGCTCTGCCTGCGGCAAATGCGGCGCTTCGCTTTCATTGCCGAGCAGATGCGGCGCGTGAACCGTGCTCCTTCTACGATCCTCCTGGAGCTTTGGATCGCTTGGGCAAGCATGGCGGGAATACTTCTCTGGATTTTGGTCGAGGCGCTGCAAAGGTCCTGCGTCTGGTTCCTGTGGATTCTTTGCTATGCCGTTGCGGAGTTCTGGGGTCTTGCGCACGTCCGAACCATCCAAAGCCGATGGCTTTTCCCACGGAGCATGCTGTTGCTCCATGCAGGCGCGGCAATGTACGCCTTCTGGTGGCCTTTGGGGCCGTTGTGGCTGCTGCTTGCAAGTCTACTCTGGGCTCATGCATCTATCATGTTCGTGCTGATCAGCGACTTGGACTGTTGCTTTGCGCTGCCATCCGATCCTCCGAATGAGGTCCTGGCGGCCTCACTGGTCCTGCCTGCAGTGCCACTGTCTCGCGAGCTCTTGAAAGCAACCCAAGATGCCCAGGATCGACCCCAAGATCCCCAAGACCGATCCCAAGAGGAGCAGGTCTCTGGCCAAGGTGATTCACTCTCTCAGGCAGGCTCGGAGGCGAATGTAGAGTAAATGGCTCAGCGCGGGCCGAAAAGAGACCTGGCTTGGTTTGCAACAATACTCAATACTGAATGACTCCAGCATTTCGGGTTTTACTCAGCTGTAAAATGAATTCTGTAGATCGAAGAGCTCATGGACCAACACATGCAACGGTAACTCATTTTCGGCTCTACGCTGCCACGCTTGTTGACCTGACAGGATAAGAAGTACGTCGAGGCTAAAGCCGAATATGACGAAGGCCTCAAGCGCAATCCCAAGGACCTTGGAATTCGCGAGCAGTTCTGATCAAGGGTCAGCTGGGCTCGGTCTGCTTGTGCTTGCAGTGATTAGTTGAGGGCTGCTATAAGCGTCGCATGCAACATGCCAATTGACTTCCAGCGTCTCTATGCCGGTCTGTGTTTTTCAATCTGGTCGGGTTTTAGAGGATTGGCGGGCCTGGCGGTTGTGTTTGAAATCTCTAGCTGCTGTGCCTGCATGTGGCTCAAGTCGAGATTTCCCCATGTGGGCTTCGTGGCGGGTGATGGGGGGACGTGAAGAAACTCGGCATCTTGGGTTGAACAAGCTTCGGATTTATGTGGCTTTGCGAGCAAGAGCTTGCGCAGCAGCCATTCTACTGGTAGGGATGTCAATGGTCTCCCTAGGTCTGTACAGTTGCAGAGTTGAGTCGAAGATAGATGGGGCGAACCCTTCCCGCATGACATGCAGCCGAGGTACTGAACCAATTCAGCAGCGGCTGAACTGCTGCAGCTGTTCCCCCGGCCCCGCCTCGGTGCTGCCATTCACCCCAACCATCCTACATGATTCTACACAGCGCTGAAACATGATGCAGCATGACTTGATCCTGCTTATTTGGTTCTAGGGTCATAAAGTCACAGAGCTTCAAGGCGTTGAAGTGGGTGAGAATCAATCATCATGATGCTACTACATGCAAGCAGTGTGTTTCCGGTTGTTGGCACCAGCGCTTGCAATGCTCGCTTGCCGCTTCCTCACGCTGCTTCTGGTCCCAGCGCTGGCGGGTGATGGCTACGACACAGGCGCGTATGTAGCCTGGGGAAGGCCCAAGCAGAGCTTAGTGAACATTTCTTGCTTTCGGTGGTTTAGGGTTTAGGGTTTAGGGTTTAGGGTTTAGGGTTTAGGGTTTAGGGTTTAGGGTAATTTAGGGTTTAGACTCCCAGGCTCCCCAGGCTCCCCAGGCCACTCCGCTGTTTGCGGACGAGCTCAGCCAATTTTCAGCCTGTGCGAGCATGGATTAATCTCTGGCCCGCAAGGTTTGGCGGGCAGAGCCTCCACCAGGCCAGCCTTCAGAAGAAGTTTAAGGTTTAGGGTTTAGGGTTCGATCTCGACCGGTATAGCCTTCCAAGTTGCCTTCCTAGCTGGCATGGAAGGTGCACAAACAGCTTGACGCTACTCCAGGTGGGTGGGGGGGCATGCGGTGATGCAACCTGCGCAGAAGAGTCATAAGACCCAGGGGAATATGAATGGTGCATTTCCTCATGGTTCAAATGTCAAAGGGGAGTGTTTGGACGGCTCGAGAGCATCAGCCGTTCATGTGCAGGCCACCTCGCAGAAATCCCGCACCGTCGTCCAAGGCCAAGGACCTGTGAGCTTTCCTGTGCCAGTAGCTGTGGATTCTGCCATACACTTCAAGAAGAAGGATGAAGCAGGTCTGGTTTTCTGGCTGACCCTGGCCTTCGCCTGTGATGCACGAGATGCAACTAGCTTGGGCATCTCTTGAACCCTATCCTGCCAGGCCAATGCGGTTTTCGAAGCAGCTAGGTCTTCGTACAAGTAGCTGATGCAGCCGGCTGATGCCTCGGCCTAGACGTTGCTGTTGCAGGCGATGTGGATGCAGAGCTTTTGAGGCCTTCTCAAACAGCAGAGGACGCCTTGACTGCATCGGCACCACAGTCAACCCAAAAAACCCTGTTAACGTGCACTCTGCAGAGCATCTTTAATAGAGCCTGGGGCCTGGACCCTCGATGTGAGCGGCTAGGTTTTGGCTGAGAAGGGGATACTGCGCAGCGCTGGTTGCTTTGCAGGATGCCTTGCCTTTTCCTCCCAGCTCCCGCTTTCTTGCTTTGCGTTTGTGACTTGGCCGTTTGTGTTGGCGCTGGGCCATGTGTCTGCAGCTTCTTATAGCTCCGGTTTCGGTGGAGACGTTGGGCTCCCATGCTTGCTGTGGTGGCTCGATGCTGCGCGAGGCCATGTTTTAGGCAACATGCATTTGGGGTCGGGTGGCTTGGGTCTCCCACGCCGAATGCGTACTCCACAAAAAGGTCGGTCGATTCAAAAACCCAGGGCCCCGGGCATCTTCCTTCAATGGCTTTTTTCATCTGCCGAAGATCACACTGCAATATATGCAATTTAGACAAGTATAGCAGTATTGTACTACAATGATACTGATGCAACAATATAATGCTATAGTCATGTGACACTGTAGGAAACTTTGTAAACTCTGTTCAGGGGCTGTTGTCTATAAAGCCACGCTTCTTCATCAGTCGCACGGTGCTGATTCCTGCCAGCCTCGTGCTTTACAGGCAGCTTCATGTGACTCGTGACCACCATGCATGAGATTCTCTAAAACCCTAAACCCCTAAATTCCCTAAATCCCCTAGATTCCCTAAACCCGAAGCCCTAAACCTCTAAATTCCCTAAAGTCCCTAAACCCGTTGCTTAAAGTCGCCCAAAAGGACTTCGCGCCACCCAATGACCTGCACAGTGGTCGGGCTTTGGTTGACCGCACCGTGCACTTGCAGCATACGGGAGCTGACTGGGATGAATTGAATAAAGAAGGGTTTCCAACAATTCGGGTATAGTTTTGTGATGTTTTGTGCGTCCTTGTAACTGTATGAGGAATGTAAGGGGTAGTACACCTATTTCGGGAATCGTCCGAATGATTAGCATGTCCTTTCACCTTGCAGCATTGACCCCATTGTCAGGGTCGCGACGTCTCGGTTGCATGAGCTTGCGTAGCCAAGGTCCGTGCTTTGGCGGGGGACATCAAAGCCTCTTTGCTCCAGGCGCTGAGTAAGGGTGTTCAGCGAACGAAAGCCTTGTGGTCAGCAGCCCATATAGCCGGAAGGTGCGGGCTACTTCCTTTGGATACACCACCATCTCCTTTTTGATCTTGGGTGTGCTAGCCCGCTGCTGAGACAAACTGCCGAGGTCTGTCGTACCATCCACATCAACCCTTCAAGATTCTTAATTAGGACGTTCCCCCTTTTTTTGCCACATGGTGTCCAGCCTGTTGGAAGATACGGTGCCACTGTACGGCGGTACGGAGGAAACTGCGATGCCTTTCTCTCAGGTCCTCAGCACTGTGGCAGCTTTCCTTTTCACCCGGCCAGACCTGCCCATGGCTTGCCACAGCGACACGAAGGAGAGTGTTCAACGTTTGCATCAGGGACAACTGATGATCAATATGGTCAATAGGTTGGGATGTTCCCCAATTATACTAACATTCCTTAATGGAGATCATAGCACCCGCAATTCTCATCCTCATTAAGGACGGTTAGGATAAGGGGGAAGATCCCAATCAATAGGTTATGAGTCACTTCATCCACCATTGCCTCCCCACATGCGCATCGATGCGCACACGGTAGCGCCGGCTCCAGAACTCTACGAAATGGCGATAGGAAGGGCAGGTTGGTGAAGAAGGGCATTGTAGAACTCTTGACACATGTCTGTTCCAGGATGTGAGGCTTCCAGCAAATGCGCTCGCCCAGTCTCGAGGTGCAACTTGCGCATGGTTGGCCAGGTGTTGGGATGTTGCTCAGACAGTTGCTAAAACATGTCTGCCTGAGACGCACGTGGGCTGAAGAAGTGGGCTGAATGGAACACCGTGCCCCAACATGCTCATGGTCAATGATAGCTGATCGAGCTGCCAAGCCATCCAGGGAGCATATTCGAGGGCAGCCTGATTTCGAGGTGTATAACTGCATGTTTTGCAGGCAGCAAGTCCTTCGGTGCGAACTCGTCGCTGCCGGGTGCGGCCCCCAGCAACTCCACCAGCTCTTCCTGGCCTCATCCTTGCACAACAGGTTTAGGGTTTAGGGGTTTAGGGTTTCGGGCTTAGGGTCTGAGGCAGAGCCAGCTACATGCAGGCCCGGGAGGGGCAGTTTTGCGGGACAAAATCGACAACGGAACGAAGCACCCTCGAAAGCCTTGCGTTGCCTAACCCAGAGCCCAAAAAGCACGCAGCCCAGAGCAACCCTCAACCTTAAACCCAATGAATTGTACCCCTAAACCCTAAACCCTAAACCCTAAACCCTAAACCCTAAACCCTAAACCCTAAACCCTAAACCCTAAACCCTAAACCCTAAACCCTAAACCCCTAAACCCCTAAACCCCTAAACCCCTAAACCCCTAAACCCTAAACCCTAAACCCGAATTGTACCTCTGAGAATGGGGAGGCCGCGTCGCCTTCGCCTTCGCCGACCCGTGAGGGGAGTGACCTAGACGACAGGCCTGGAGTTGCATTCGTGTTTAGGGTTTCGGGTTTAGGGTTTAAAGGGTTTAGGGTTTAGGGTTTAGGGTTTAGGGTTTAGGGTTTAGGGTTCAAGCCTGTAGCAACATGTCTTCTTTTTGGAGGCCAGGACTGCAGTGAGGGCCGTGGGCGTTGAGCCCCCCCAGTCTGCCGCGAATGCCATAAGTGGCCATTATGCCTGCCCGACCTGTGGGAACATAGATGCAGGGCTGAAGCTCGCGGCGACTTCTGCCCAGACTTGATCGTGCCCAGGGGCTGCTTCTTGGGCCGCAGGAGTGTAAAGTGATGGCTTTGCAGGTGCGGTCTCCATGAGAAGCCCGCCATACTAGTTCAGTCCGACTGTGGGCAGACTGCTTGCAAATTGTAAGGCCAGTCTGCCATTATCTCCTTGAAGTCTGTCACCAGCGTGCACTGCTCAGGTGAGTGTGTTCTGCTCGTTCCGATTCTCCCACTTTCGCTTGGGCCATTTAGCAACTCGTCAAACACAGCTGTTGAGTTGTTTTTTCAAACTTCGCTCACGCAAAGTCAGTTCTCAGGAATGCTCAGGACTATGCCCAAAAACTCAGTCAGAGAGAGAGAGAGAGAGAGATCAGTCAGCGCCTGTCAGCGCGCCGGATCCACTCCGTAAGCTTCAGACCAACCCGAACCCTTGTCCACAACGATTCCCATAACCGCGCATTCGGTGAGCTGTTGCAGACATGCTCCAGGTGTGTGCGATCCCAATGGCCATGTGGTCCTTCGCGTCCTTCCAAAGAGCTTGGCCCAGGCGCATATATTTGCCTCACATTCCCGAATTTCACTCCAATCAACATCGGAGAGGATCATGATTAAGCTGAAAGTGGGTGCGAGAGCAGTGCCAAAACCTTGAAGTCTGCCCAACATCCACAACCCTGTGCTGCAAACCCCACGTGAGAATATTAGAGCACATGTCGATGCTGATCTTGTTTATCCCTGCAAGCCCCTATCCGTCAGGGCTCATCTCCATCATCCCCGAGGCAGGGTCCATAGGTCAAGCTCGGATTTGCAACGCTGGATTGTAAGGCTTCGGGGGTTTCAACCTCAGGTAAGACTACTGACTGTTCCACTGTTCTTGAGTTTGGGCATGCGCCACGTGCTGCACGGACTGTAGAAGCCGAGCAAACCACAAAATGTCGAGATGTGAGGAAAACCAGATGGTGAATCATTGCCCATCTGCCGCGTTGGAAATCTGAATTGCGCCTGTTGTAGTTGCATTGCAGGGAAAGGAAGTCATCGATTCACCTGCCCAGCCTCTGGTACCCTTTGAATAAACTCAAGTGCCGTCCATTGGCCAAAGATTTGCGGCATGCACAGTGGAACTTCTGGGACCACCTCCCTCACAACAACTTACAGGTGCATGGTACTTTGAGTGCCCTAATATGGTGATAGTTGGAGTTATAAGTACGCTTCTCAATTGGGTTCTTAAGTACCCTGAACCCTCAAGAAGGCATGGCAGAGGAGGACGGCAAGGATGAGGAGGGGTGACGACCACGATGAGGGTGAGGACGATGATGAGGATGGTGATGATGCGGGCAGATTCAATCGATACGCTCCCAGATGTCACGCCAAGCTACTGCAATGAAGGCCCATGGAGGGACGCTGCCTCGAGAATTGAAGGGCGTCTTCCTGCTCTTAAACACGCTTTCTAAACCCTAAACCCCAAACGCTAAACCCTAAACCCTAAACTGCTTCACAGAAGAGTTGCAACATGCGGGAAGTCCCGACGCTTCCTTCCGTCCTGACGACGTCACTCCGGTGGACGTCGGGTCATGTCCCACCTTTCGTCGCAGTCGTGGTCTACAGCGGCTTAAGGAGTCTACAGGCTTAAGATGTGCTGCAATGTGCAATGTCAACCCTAAACCCTAAAACCCTGTTTGCACCCAGGCGCTCCGCGTCAATGGGAAGGAGGCCCAGGCCAAGGTCTGTCAGCTTCGGCCCCGATGCACTGTGCCGGGCTCATCAGCCCAAGCCCTCAAGTCAACTTCAGGTTCAGCTTTGATATAAACAATATTGACAAGTTGAACATCATCATGATGATAAGATTAGTAGTATTCATGATATTAGCAACATTCTTAATGTCACAAAGTATCACAAATATTAAGAATAAGATTAACATTCCTAATATTCTTATTATCTTTCTTATTATTCATATTTTACTTGAAGTTCATGATTCTGGCACTTCAGGGGCAGCTCATGGCGCCTTGAGTTGACGACCGGATCGGGCGAGCTCCTTGCACAGCCGCTCGGAGGAGCTGACAGGTTGCACGTGAGGGTGTAAGGGTTTTAGGGTTGAGGGTTTAGGGTTTAGGGCTAGGGTTTAGGGTTTAGGGTTTAGGGTTTAGGGTTTAGGGTTTAGGGCTTAGGGGGTTTAGGGTTTAGGGTTTAGGGTTTGGGTTTAGGGTTTAGGGTTTAGGGTTTAGGGTTTAGGGTTTAGGGTCCCGGGGCTGACGATCGCGGACGTTTGGGGGGGGGGGGGGGGAATGAAACAACAATGGGTCAAATTGTCAAAGTGCTTTGCAGTACTTCGGCGCTGCTCGCCTTGAGCAATTTCGGCCTCTTGTGTAACTTTTGTACATCTTCAGGTCTGCATGCTGCCGAACTGGGAAGCCAAGAGCTCAATCATTCCACTGCTTCCATGGCCCCTGCTTTCCATGTTTCATCATTGTGAGCTGTCGCGACTGGCGAGGGTGAGTCCCGAATGGAGCAGCTGCCCGTCCTTTTCACTCATGACCTCCACCGGAGCCAGGGGCCTCAGTGGCCTCCAGCCCCATGCACTCCAAAAGCTGAGCAAGCCAAGCCAGAGCCCAGCAGAAGCCCTGCCCCAAGCCTTGATCATGCTGCAAGCACCCCCGTGCACTATTCGCAGAGGATGCGCTCGGATGCACAGAGGACGTCCGCATTTTCACAGATTCTCTTGACTCAAGCACGTGCCGAGGCGAATTATGCCACCTTGCGCCGCAACGCGCAGGACTTCCTCGCTCTAGGTTTGGGGTGGTCGAGGTATGTTGAGGTTCATGGTCATAGGTAGCAGCTGCTCTTCTCCTCCCTTTCTACGGCAGAGCCACTTCACGCGATGGTCCTACGGTTTTGCTACAGGAAGGCTATGAGCTGGTAACTCCCGAGCGCACGATGCACTTCTGGGGCTCCTTCGATCACCACGCCGTCAACATCACCGACGAGGCGCCCGGGCAGTTGCTGGGGACTCCTAGAAACGAAACTATGGGGGGGGCCCTAATAGACCCCCAAATAGTAGGATTCCTTTGTAACAAGAGCCCCAATAAGGTACCCCTAATTTCCCCCAGAAGCATCTCGAAGGCCCAAGGCCCTCGCCCTGCAATGAACCCTCAAGACCCTGCAGCCGCAGAAGCCTGAACCCAAGACTGCGTGAGCGGTCGTGTAAGCATCTAAGCCTAAGCCGCCCGAAAGAGGATCATGGTATTTTTGCGCCCCACACCCGCCCCCCCCCCAGCCCCCCGCCATTTTGGGAAATAACCCATGTACGCCCCCTCAATGCAGATACCTAAACCCTAAACCCGAAACCCTAAACCCCAAACCCACAGGGAGGTAAGCTGCTGGCCACCACCGAGCTGTGCGCCGCTGACTGGGACCCCACCGGCGAGCTCCGCGGTGGCAGACAGGGTCTTTTCTACAGAGTTGCTCTGTGGCTGTATGAGGAGTTGCTGTTATAGAGCCTTCACTGTTTGTTGCTGTATTATGAGTTGCTGTTATGGAGCCTTCACTGTTTGCAGGTTCTATCGCCTTCGGGTTGCGCCGCTCGTGGATGTGGGCTTGCTTCTGTGCAGCTTGGTCTGTATCGACCAGGCCGAGCAACAACCATACCAAGCCGCTGCAAGTCGCCTTGCGAGAATGCTCGTTTCTCCGTTCTTCTGCAATTCCACGGCTCTGTCTTGTCTCTCGTTTAGAGAGGAGTGGTGGTCTAGCAGGAATTCGACATGAAGCGACATGAAGCCATGCATGGCCAGGTGGCCGCTCTCCGGCAACGCACATAGCTGATGTAGCCCCGGCCAGCAGTGCCCGGGCCGCCAGAAGGACCTGGAAATCGAGGGCCAGAGATTGATGAGAGCATGAAGCCTTGTGGAGCCACTGCGGGAGGTATTCACAATGGCGCGCTTAGTTCCGGGAACCGAAAAGGGACCAACATTGAGAGAACGGCCCGTATACAATATAACACACTGTCGTACTGTATTGTATCCTTCTATATGGTGTTATCTGATACTGCATGTCTCCTACTTTAATTCATTAGTTGTGATCTGGTATATTTCGCATAATATATTGGCAACCATGTTTTGTTCCATTATCTTGCATTGTCTCAAGAACACCGTTTATGACATGAGTAGCAAAGAGCATTGTCCCGCTGGCAGGATGCTTCAGGATCACATGCGACACGTGTCGGCTATCCGGTTATCGTTACACTGGTGAGGTTTGCAAAATCTGCAACTTTCATCGCGTTCGACTTTGTCTCGAACTTGCCAATTTGCATGTCCCAGATTTGAACTGTGCTGAGCACACCTTGTCAGTGCTCGCAGCTGTTTCATCTGAGCTATGGGATACTTCTGATGCTCTGTTGACTATGACACGTGCTCTTCCATAGTCGTGTAGCAAGTGTAGACCAGGGTAGAACGGTTGCGAGCATCGTGTGCCTGGCACAGGGCACACATTGCCCCCTTTTGGTGCAAGACTTGGGTCAAGACGTTACAGATATGCGTCACTCAGCTCTTGCACAGACATCAACTACTGAGCAGATGTGGTGATTGGTGCTGCACCTTATAGGTCGAAACGCGGGCGATTGGTTCTCGTGCTGGGCAGTGGCTGAGTGCGCTAGGAATATCTAGGAACATGCTGCTCGGCTTACAAGAAGCTCTGCAGTGTCGTACCGTTGACACTTCAACTTCGGTGCTCACAGACAGACTGGTAGTGTCGGAGCTGGGTTGGATGCATTACAGAACTATTACAGAGATGGCTGTGAGCCACGAAGAACTCTGGGAGGACGCCCCCTGTGAATTTCATCCAGCTGCGAAGAAGAAAAACTCTGGCCACAACTGTGCTACTGCTGGAATCCTGGGAAGCTTGGGAAGCTTGGGGGCAGTGCAGCATTGTAGTCACCGCTATGCACCCTCACAGGTGGACACACGAATAGCAGCTTTGTCAAGCCGTACTCTCCTGGGCTGGGCTTTGCTTTCGAGTATGGCCCCATTCAGGATGCAAAGATGTACTCCAACAGGGCAGCTGCCCTGACCAAGTTGTTGGCGTGCCCTTTGCAAGCTACAAAGCTGTGGGGTCATGTGTAGTGTAACCTCTTCGAAGTTGAGTGGACATGTCTGCCCTTTACACATGTTTGTACTGGTTAGTGTGAATAGCATGGCATGAGCTGTGAGAGGTATCCGGACGCTCTCCGAGACCTGGATGAGTGCCTCAAGCTGGCGGGGGGGGGGGGGGGGGAGTGCTTTTGGATTGCTTAAGTTTTGGCAGTCCTCCCGACGAAATAGAGCTCAGCATGGGGAGCCTTCAGGATCCCAGCTTCATCAAAGCGTACTCACGGAAAGGAGCAGCGCCACCCGGCAGCAATCGGCAGCAAGTCCTGAGGGCGATACGAGAGCCGAGCGAACGTTCTGTCATGTCGCTGCACGCTGTGGGAATGGTTCCGCAACACCACTTACTCAGGCACTTCTTTATGAAGGAGTACCACAAGTCGCTTCAGGCTTACGAACAAGGACGGAATCAGCCACGGCACAGAAGCGGGATAGAGCCACTGACCGCATCTTCAGAATGCTCGCTCCACCTGATGGGCAACAGTACTTCGGACGGCTCATGTGCTCAGACAATCATAAACTTCTGCTACGTCTGTGCCTCCATCCCCCATGCAATCCACTCCTCTTTCTCATGGCATTGGGGCTTGAGCCGCGCAGGATTGAAACTGGACCCTGAAAATGCGGAGCTCCTGCTTGCCAGCATAGCATGCTTTGGCTGCAGTTGGCACTGTGACACGTGAATCTGCCCGAGTCCGGATTGTTCATGATGCAGAGCAGGTTCCTGTTACCGGGTAAAAGTTTTCGAGCGCTAGTGCCTCCTGAGACTCCTAGAGCGACTCAATTTCGCAGCTGCCTGTGACCATTTGTAGGAAGCTTGCGCCACGAGGAGTGCAAGACGGGCCGGGAGCAAGTCCTGGCGAAGATTAGCGAAACTTCTAGAAGTGGAGAGGCGGGTGCAGAGTGCGAGTCTGGCATGTGCAGCAAAGATTTGGTCTGTCGTCGTGGAGGGTTGCATGAAGGTGGAATTGGTACGACCTCGTCGGCTCGAGCTCTTAGAGCTTTCCAGTTGAAGAGCCGACAGCTGGTGTAGCGTGTAGAGCAGTGTAGGGGGGTTTGCTACAGTGGGATAGGGCCCCCCCCAACACCCTCGCGAGCCTCGGCCATGCGAAGGCCAGGCAAGCCTGGATCAGGGCGCAGCCAGAGACATGACGCATTTGTTGTGTCCGGGCTCTTGGGTGTTTTGCTTCTAGCCGGCCACAGCTGCGTGAGCAGCAGCTTCTTTTTGCCAGCAGAGCCCGACAGCGCGACGGCGCGGCGCGCAGTGGCCACGGATGCCACCAGCGAGGTGGCGGAGTGGAGGAGGCCGCCGGGAGACCCCAAGCCCGAGCAGCGTTGGGGCTTGTGGCCCGCCCTGCCTATTGCTCCGTACGAGCGACGCGTGACGCTGCGCTACGAGGTGATCCCAGGCCAGGCGTGCGGGGCAACCTAGGAGAGAGAGAGAGAGGTAGGTCTTCTTCCTGGGGCCCCTTATTCTTTTCATCTTCGCAGCATGTTTACATCTTTTTTTCTCTCTATAATACATAGTATGTTAGTACATATGGGAGAGTTCCCCTACCCCAACAGGGGGGGGGGTGGATGCCGGGGATCAGAGCAGAGACCCGTCCAGGAGAGCTTTGGACCTTTGAGCAGAAGCAGGGCATCCTGTACATCCACGTTCCCATTCGCATGACCGTGTATCGAATGCAGACGCGGCCTGGGCTCTTTGTCTACGCCCCAATCGCCCCTACGGACGAGTGCGTCCGATTACTCCGGGAACTCGAGGACCAGTACGGAGAAGTGGCGTACATCGTTCTCCCCACCGTGGCGGTAGAGCACAAGTACTTTGTGGGGCCCTTCTCTCAAGCCTTTCCAAAGGCCCAGGTGCGGGCTGCTTCCACTTTGAAGTGGTAATAGTAGCTTAACAGGGAGCCCAACTAGTTTTGGTCCTGAAACAGCATAAATCGTCAACAAAAGGAGTCTTCCCGATTGCCAGACTGCTAGATGACGCTAGATGTCCAGGTCTGGGTCTGCCCTGGGCAATTCTCCGTTCCACTGCAGCTCCCCCTGCCCCTGCTCGGCTTCCCCTGGGACGCCCGCCTACGCACGCTTCCCAAAGGTGCCACGAGCACGTGCCTCAGAGACGCAGTCGGAGACCATCATCTACGGCTTCTGTAGTTCACCAGCCAACTCTCAACCCCCCCCCCACCCCTAGATTTTAAACAGGGTTCTCGAGGAGTTCTGTATAGCCTGGATTTGCCAGCTACATGTTCACGATTTTAAAAATCAGTTGGGTTTTTGTTGATCAACGCTCTTGTGCGTAAGGAAACAAGAACAGATTAGGTTTTTAATCAAATTGTTTTTTCGGCTTCATTATAATTTCGTTCGTGTTTAAGAACCTCAGCCGTTCAACTTTTCGCCTGCCTCAGCCTCAGGGTGAAAAGTAGATCCTTTTTCCAAACCCGATTTAAAGTGCTTTTGCCGGGGGTTGGGGTTCCAAATTCAACGGCAAAGAGTGCAGTGCCAGATTGATGTCAAGCGATGAAAGTTGAAAGGTGGGTCTTGACTACCCTAAGCTTCAGGCACAGACCTGCCGGAAGACTGGCAGAAGGAAGGGCCTGTGGCCCAGAGGTGATGTACGGTGTCATGTGGTAGAGCCATGGCTCCGATGTTTCGGCATGAGGTTGGACTTCCGCATCCTTGGGCCTGTCGGCAAAGACCTGAACAACGGCCCTTTCGCTGAAGCGGTCGGAGCCGTAAATTTCAATTGGGCTAAACCAGTCTGGTTTTAATGCAGGCTTTCGTCAGCACAGAGGCACCGATGTTTTTAGCTGTATCGCTTCAGCCACGGCTCAGAGCATGTAGCTGTCGACTCACTTATAGTTTACCGATATAGTTTACCGATATAGTTTACCTATATAGTTTACCTATATAGTTTACCTGTATAGACTTAGTATACACGGTGTTTCAGACAGACTGAGGCCTTTTACATCCGTAGGTCAGGAGCTCAGTGCACAGTTCATGGGACCAGCCTCCTCAGTCTCCCCGGTGGCTCGCGACGCCTTCGTTGTTTTTGGTGACTTCAAGGGCATGTCTTGGGAGGTTCCCCCTGGTTCTAGCAGTCCAGAATGGGGACTACGGTTCCCCCGATTGACAATCCCTGTTAAGTACTGTTAGTATATGGGGGAGCATCCCGATGCATGTTCTCTTCTGGGCAAAACCCCTGGCTGCGGCCCAGGCTTCGAACCATGCTGGTAACAGACTTGGTCGTCTCTGTGCCTGCAGAGCCTCCAGAGATCGTCGCCGAGGACTGCGTTCCCGGCTAGCCACTGGCACGGGCAAAGAGGGAGAAGCGGTGTGCTTTCAGACTTTTCAGAATAGCAGAGCATGTGATACGTGCTGTAGGGCCCTTCTCCGAAGGTCCTTGAGATGATTCTTACAAGGCAGCCAGTCGCCAGTGGCTCTTCCCGAACTGGGTCCCGAGCAGTAGAAGCAGTCGACTCAGTACTGTAGACGGTGAATCTAAATAATAAATATAATTAATTTTATAAATATAATATTAATAATAATTGTTTTATTATATTAATATAAATTTTAGGCCTTACCTCCAAGAAGCTTCACGAGGAGCCAAGGGCTCTGGCCTTCCATGCGCGCGACGATGCCACCCAACCTCTGGAGGCAAGGGTTTAGGGTAGTTTAGGGTTTAGGGTTTAGGGTTTAGGGTTTAGGGTTTAGGGTTTAGGGTTTAGGGTTTAGGGTTGGGGGTTTCACTAAAGCAGTTGCAGGATGCTGCAGAGGGCCTCAATCT